TGCTAGTGATGATGTTACAGTGTAAGGTATGTTACATGTACTGCTAGTGATGATGTTACAGTGTAAAAGGTATGTTACGTGTACTGCTAGTGATGATGTTACAGTGTAAGGTATGTTACGTGTACTGCTAGTGATGATGTTACAGTGTAAGGTATGTTACATGTGTACTAGTGATGATGTTACAGTGTAAGGTATGTTACGTGTACTGCTAGTGATGATGTTACAGTGTAAGGTATGTTACATGTACTGCTAGTGATGATGTTACAGTGTAAGGTATGTTACGTGTACTGCTAGTGATGATGTTACAGTGTAAAGGTATGTTACATGTACTGCTAGTGATGATGTTACAGTGTAAGGTATGTTACGTGTACTGCTAGTGATGATGTTACAGTGTAAGGTATGTTACGTGTACTGCTAGTGATGATGTTACAGTGTAAGGTATGTTACGTGTACTGCTAGTGATGATGTTACAGTGTAAGGTATGTTACATGTACTGCTAGTGATGATGTTACAGTGTAAGGTATGTTACGTGTACTGCTAGTGATGATGTTACAGTGTAAGGTATGTTAGGTATGTGTACTGCTAGTGATGATGTTAGTGTAAGGTATGTTACGTGTACTGCTAGTGATGATGTTACAGTGTAAGGTATGTTACGTGTACTGCTAGTGATGATGTTACAGTGTAAGGTATGTTACGTGTACTGCTAGTGATGATGTTACAGTGTAAGGTATGTTACATGTACTGCTAGTGATGATGTTACAGTGTAAGGTATGTTACGTGTACTGCTAGTGATGATGTTACAGTGTAAGGTATGTTACGTGTACTGCTAGTGATGATGTTACAGTGTAAGGTATGTTACGTGTACTGCTAGTGATGATGTTACAGTGTAAGGTGTATGTTACGTGTACTGCTAGTGATGATGTTACAGTGTAAGGTATGTTACGTGTACTGCTAGTGATGATGTTACAGTGTAAGGTATGTTACGTGTACTGCTAGAGATGATGTTACAGTGTAAGGTATGTTACGTGTACTGCTAGTGATGATGTTACAGTGTAAGGTATGTTACGTGTACTGCTAGTGATGATGTTACAGTGTAAGGTATGTTACGTGTACTGCTAGAGATGATGTTACAGTGTAAGGTATGTTACGTGTACTGCTAGTGATGATGTTACAGTGTAAGGTATGTTACGTGTACTGCTAGTGATGATGTTACAGTGTAAGGTATGTTACGTGTACTGCTAGTGATGATGTTACAGTGTAAGGTATGTTACGTGTACTGCTAGTGATGATGTTACAGTGTAAGGTATATACGTGTACTGCTAGTGATGATGTTACAGTGTAGGTATGTACTGCTAGTGATGATGTTACAGTGTAAGTGATGATGTTACTAGTGTGATGTTACAGTGTAAGGTATGTTACGTGTACTGCTACTGTGATGATGTTACAGTGTAAGGTATGTTACGTGTACTGCTAGTGATGATGTTACAGTGTAAGGTATGTTACGTGTACTGCTAGTGATGATGTTACAGTGTAAGGTATGTTACGTGTACTGCTAGTGATGATGTTACAGTGTAAGGTATGTTACATGTACTGCTAGTGATGATATTACAGTGTAAGGTATGTTACGTGTACTGCTAGTGATGATGTTACAGTGTAAGGTATGTTATGTACTGCTAGTGATACTGTTACAGCAGTGATGATGTTACAGTGTAAGGTATGTTACGTGTACTGCTAGTGATGATGTTACAGTGTAAGGTATGTTACGTGTACTGCTAGTGATGATGTTACAGTGTAAGGTATGTTACATGTACTGCTAGTGATGATGTTACAGTGTAAGGTATGTTACGTGTACTGCTAGTGATGATGTTACAGTGTAAGGTATGTTACGTGTACTGCTAGTGATGATGTTACAGTGTAAGGTAAGGTATGTTACGTGTACTGCTAGTGATGATGTTACAGTGTAAGGTATGTTACGTGTACTGCTAGTGATGATGTTACAGTGTAAGGTATGTTACGTGTACTGCTAGTGATGATGTTACAGTGCTAGTGATGATAGTACAGTGTAAGGTATGTTACGTGTACTGCTAGAGATGATGTTACAGTGTAAGGTATGTTACGTGTACTGCTAGTGATGATATTACAGTGTAAGGTATGTTACGTGTACTGGTAGTGATGATATTACAGTGTAAGGTATGTTACGTGTACTGCTAGAGATGATGTTTCTGACTCTGTACGGTATGTTATGTGCACTGCTAGTGATTATGTAACCGATTGTGTGAGGTATGTTATGTACTGCAAGAGATGATGTTACGTACAGTGTAAAGTATGTTACGTGTACTTCTGGAGATGATGTTACGTGTACTTCTAGTGATCGTGTTACGTGTACTTCTAGAGATGATGTTACGTGTACTGCTTGTGATGTTACCGACTGTGTAACGTATGTTACGAGTACTTCTAGTTATGATGTTACCTACTGTGTAAGGTATGTTACGTGTACTTCTAGTGATGAGGTTACCGACTGTAGAAGAAAAGTGTTACCATGATGTTACCAACTATAATAAAACTGTTACCTGTACTTTTAGAGATGGTGTTACCGTGTTGGACCTGTAACCGGTTGTTTTATAGATGATGCAACTCACTTTCAAGCACGTTCTGGAATGATTGCTTTAGGAGACAGTGTTACCGACTGTCAGACACACATTCTCTTATTTCTGGAATGGTTACTTTAGGAGACCGGGTTACCGACTGTCAGACACACATTATCTCATTTCTGGAATGGTTCATTTAGGAGACCGGGTTACCGACTGTCAGACACACATTCTCTCATTTCTGGAATGGTTACTTTAGTAGACAGTGTTACAGACTCTCGGACACACATTCTCTTATTTCTGTAATGGTTAATTTAGGAGACAGTGTTACTGACTTTCAGACACACATTCTCTTATTTCTGCAATGGTTAGTTTAGGAGACAGTGTTACCAACTTTCAAGCACATATTCTGTTAGTTCTGTAAGGGTTACTTTAGGAAACAGTGTTACTGACTTTTTTAAGCACATATTCTGCTAGTTTTGTAACTTACTTCAGAAGAGTGCTATTGACTTTCAAGCACATATTGTGTTTGTTCTGTAAGGGTTACATTAAGAGACAATCTTACTGACATTTATAAGCATTTATTCTGATGGTTCTGTAATGGTTACTTTAAGAGACAGTGTTACTGATTTTCAAACACATATTCTGTTAGTTCAATTCTGACCACCTAATTCATTTAGTAGCTTGTTAAGACCAGCATCAGTTGATGGGGACTGATTCTATCCCAGAATCCCACTGGGTCAATCTGCTATCAACAGCATAGTTGAAGAACATGAAAACCTCTATTTTTTTCAATTGGTGGATGTTAGGGAGTGAGTGAATATGGTTTTACGCCGCCTTTAGCAATATTCCAGCAATATCACGGCAGGGGACACCAGAAATGGGCTTCACATATTGTGCCTATGTGGGGAATCGAACCCGGGTCTTCAGCATGACGAGCCAACACTTTAACCACAAGGCTACTCCACTGCCCCCTGGTGGGTGCTAAGTATCCTTAGCTGAAGGTAATTTCTTCAATGTATTTTTCACCTTTGTTAAACTCTTAATGAGAGTTTATCAGTTAGCAAAAATATTTGTGTCTCTGCAACAATATTCCATCCATACCACAGTAACCTTAAGATTACCCTGTCTTGGATAGTATATCTGAGTTCTGAGTACCATGTTTACATTTGCACAAAGGACCGCCTCCGTGGTGTAGTGTGACGTTAAAATATGGTACTTGTTGGTCCCTGCCTGGCACTCGGCATTAATGGGTACAACAAGGACTGGTTGGCTCGGAGTCAGTATAATGTGTCTGAGTGGGGTATTCATGCTTCACTGCGGCATGGTATCTCAGTGGGCTAGCACTATAAAAACAGCTTTATTCTGGGCTAGTACAAGCAGCCACACATACATATACACACGCATGCATGTCGTCATATGAGTGAAATATTCTCAAGCACGACGTTAAACCCAATTTCACCTCACATTTGCACAAACCCACATACTATCATGTCTGAATGCCCTTACAGAATGTTTAGACATCTTTTGGTCTTGAAAGTGTAGAAATGTAAATTGCAAAGTGTCATATCTGAGAATCTTTACCAAACCAAGAGTGGAGTGCCAAACAAAAGTTATTTATTGTTTCATGTAAATCTTTTTTTGAAACACACTGAAGCCTTGTCCCTTTTAAGATGATTGAATGATCGCATTCACAACTTAACCATGACAGACCACAGAACTTTGAAATGTGTTATTTACATAACTTAGACAATAGAAGGAAACTAGGGCAGCCAAAAATGGACCTCCTTTTGAGACTTAAAGCCGTGGAATTGAAATCTCTTAGAAATAAAAACAGCGCACAAAAAATACATGTACTCAACGAACCGCTCAACTACTCACAGTCAAACAAACCCAAACTTAGCCTAGCTAGATTCAAGTCATAATGGTAGAAAAGTGCTTCGTGACCTTTGAAACTCTTTATGTACAGTAGCCCTGACAGGATATTAGAAAGGAAACTTATGGTTCTAGCAAGTGAAGTTTCATAATCGCAACAGTTTGTACTGAAGACATACAATACACAGTTTCGCTCAATGTTAGAGATGCGCGGTTTCGGATATGATTATTCAGCCATTTCCTCTAATACTGCACATTCCAAAGGCTACGTAATAATGATAATGCGCACGTGTTCGCGAGTTACCTCCCTTTGCCCGTGTCCCTGTCCATGTGCGAGACATATAAGAGCTAATAAAACGCTCATTGACATGTTAAGAGGTTGTACTCGGTCAAAAAGTGAAGTTATTGCTTTCTAAAAAAATGTGAATAAATTAATTGGCTGGGAAGTGAATCATACAACTTTGAATGGGCACGAAGTTCTACTTTTGCTACAACCCTGACGATTGTCTGCTCCTGCGCAGTAGTATTCATCCGGGGTTTTGGTATGGAACATTTGTAATGGCGGTCAAGGTGGCAACTAGCATGATTGAAATATAAGGATATAGCCATCTGTCCGTCTCGTATTGTGGTTAAAACTACCAAGAGAACGCGAATTAATGTCAAAATGAATCAGAATGCCTCTCAGGAAAATGATAAAGATGCAAAGGAAGTGAGAACTGTCGAGATTGAACAGGGGCAGACACCATCATTACAGCCGTCTGTGGAGAAATCCCAAGTATTGCCGACTTCTCAGTCCAATTTTGGACCCGATATGTCGGGTAGTGATGATGACGAAGCTTCCGAGGTATGACATCATCATAATAAGAATCTTAAGGCTAATGCATATGAATTCAATGCCCTGGTAATGGTTGCAGATCAATACATTTGCTGATGTAAATGGGGAATCTGATTTGGCCATGTGACCAAAAAACATAGGAAACTGAAACATCATCAAATCTATTAGCTTGTCACAAGCTTTAAGATGTAGTTATGCATGTCATTTAAATGTCAGTTATATTTTAGTTGTCAAACTACCTGCTGACTTGAGCATTATGCTCATCCATGCCTTAAGAAACCCTTAATTTTTAAGTCTTTTAGGAAACTTGAAATTTCTAAAAAGAGAGTAAAGGTTTGTTTAATGTGCATGCATTGGTAATTAAATTGGTACATGTAAAGTATTTGAAGGATGACAATTATCACCTGAGAGAAACAAATACTACTTCCCGCAAATTCATTTTGTTGATACAATAATCATGTATAATTATCCTGGCATACCCTATTTTGGGCCAGTTGAGACAACATTGTTGATATATTGAGTAATGAATAGATTAAAACATACGTTTGTGGTCATATCAGTAGGTGATGCCTTCAGCTATAGAATTTAGCTGTATATTAATAGGAAAAGTGCCCTTGATAAAAGGTGTACCTTCCTTATCTATAAACTTTCTCTGCACTCCAGTGCCAGAACTATTTTCTGTGAGCTTTAGTGGTTGGCACCTTTCAAATACTGTGCTTGAACACTTTGGGATAATACACCAATTTAACCTCTCACCATCACTTCTATCAATCAAAACACCTCTCTGGAAACCTACCTTTTCAATCAGTCATATCCAGTCTAAATCTAAACAGCCCCTGCTGCCAGCCCCATTTTCCCTGCTGTAGCATAACTTGCTTCCAGTACAACACATGTAACACCATGAGCAAAGTTTTGTCATTGGAATCTGAATAATGGAATTATTTCTTAAGTATTGCTTCTAAAGGATTTCCATGAATGAACAACCATGTATGGTGAACAGTTGTCAACATTATTCTTGCAGGCTGGTATTTAAACTTCAAAGGTAATTGCAAGTTTAAAACCTTTTTACACGGTATGAATGCTTGTCAAATGATAATAATTTATTTTAGAGTTTTTCACAGAAGTAATTTTTCACCCTTTTCATCATGTCACAGGGACCTACATTGAAGTACATTCTGAATGATGATGGACTGTTGTACATTACTTCACACGAACACTCAAAGTTGAAGGACCTAGTGTGTACATTGTCAAATCAGCAGCTTTGGTGATGTCACAGCTCAAATTATTACATCAGATATCACTATCCATATGCCAGTTTGAAAACAGTATTAAGCGATGAAGAATGAACTTGGTTACTATAGGTTTGTTGGGTTTTTTTGCCGCACTCAGCAATATTCAAGTGATATGCCGGTGGTCTATAAATAATCGAGTCTGGAACAGACAATCCAGTGATCAACAGCATGAGCATCATTCTATGCAATTGGGATACGATGTCATGTGCCCACAAAGTCAGCGAGTCTGACCACCCAATCTCATTAGTTGCCTTGTTTATCATTGAACACCATTACATATGGTTATAGATGTTCTCATGCATTTATTTATTTTGTGCCCTTACATGTTGTAAGAGTATGAGTTTTTTTTCACTGGGCTGCGCGTTCGGAATTGTATCAAAACTAGAGAAACTGTATTCTTAAACTTGCATGTGTGTGAGTGCCTAAGTATATCGTCAAATGTATGAATTTCTGTTTATGCTGTTTTACAGAGGTATCAAGTTATGTTTCTATTAATGCTATGATGAATGACTGCCCAAGTATGCCTACTATTAGTATGATATGGACTGCACTTAACAAATTATACATCCAGCTTAAGTATAATGTTGATATTGTAATGTTCATAATCCTTGAAAAAAACAGTGCTACTGTCCTCAGAAAAGTTATCACCCTTTCTTCTGTTTCCTTTCTGAAATATTCATTGTATTAAGCTGACCGAGATGTTTGTGAAATTGTGTTTATCTCCCTCTGTATAAATGTTTTTGAGACAAATTCTGGAATGTAAATGAGCTAAATTAAAATGAGTTGCGTCCATTAGCACACTTCAACAGGGGATTGGCAATATATTGGACCCAAGCAATAACTGGTCCCAAGCCAGTACAGGTATTTGGAAGGATGATTCTAAAACAATTATGTCACGATCACATCACTGGAAGCCAGTGTTAAAAAGAAATAGTTTAGGCAAAATGTTTGCATGACAATTACATGCAATGTTAGATATATATTTATGCAGTAAATTTATCAATCAGTGAATCAGTGTCATTGAAAGTGAATGTGAATTTTCTTCAGAAACTGTCAGCTACTACCTGGTTTAAGATTTTGGCAATTTGTATTGTGTAATGGTGTGCTATAATGTCTTGTTCATTACCGCAAGTCAGCCTCACACAAATGACACACTGCACCAGCCTAATGAAACAATTTGTGTTTGTTTTTTTAACTGAAATAGGAAAACTGTCCATTCAAGATGGAAGGACAAAATCATGCCGATTTGTGCAATAGTGGACTTTATGCTGTTAATCACTCTGGATAATGGATTAATCCAATTGATAATCACAGCCCTAAAAGATTGTTAGTTATATGTAATTCGGTGGAGTAGTATAATTCATACAATCCAAATAAGTACATGTGATATAAATTAAAGGAAAAATGGACCACTTTTTAGATGAATGATGGGATTTACTTTCCTTCAAAACATTCTTTCCTGTTTGATATATGATAAAGGTTTGTTCAAAGGAGATAAGTTGGGTTGAAAATAAGCTTGTAAAGATTATCAGGTTTTAAAGTGTTGTGACATGACCTGTTGCATGTTTAATTAGAATGGCAATGTCTTCTGTTTCTGTCCTTGGCATTATTGTACATAGCAGTGTTTAGTCTTTCTTGATAAGAGTAAATGAATAATTAGGATTATTTATGAAGCAACTTTACACTGTCATGTTAGACATAAAGGTAAACTAAGCTAAGATTCTGGATTAAGCTAAGTTTCTCAAATAGAGAGTTGACAGCATAACTGATGCAAATTATGCTACACTGTGATGTATATGGCTGTATGGTACGTTACGGTTAGGTCATTATCCAAGGCAGTAGGCATATCTCTTGAAAACCCCAGCATGAATTGAAAGTTAGAATAGACCCCCAGCAGTCTATACTGGTCATGAATGGATACTGAATGAATCAGGTGGTCAGGCTTGATGACAGAGCAATTTTGTGTCATCAAACTTCAACAACATTGATCAATTGTCACAACATTAGTCACTTGATTGACTGTTGCAGGTTCAATTATTTATGTACTGCCATCACATGGTTGGGATATTTCTGATTGTTCTTAGTAAAATACTTAATTTTAGTCTCTATTTTAACATGTTCCAGGGACAAGTTTGGGGTATCAGCTTATTCAGCGGATTTGTTAATACACCAGAGCTACAGATAACTTTTTGGGTCATTGAGTTGTGTACTCACTTGTGGTCATCTCAATTGGGTATCCTAATTTTCCTCTGAGTAACCACATAAATTGTACCCACCTCACTCAAACTCAATTGGGTATTTTGTCATTTTCCATTAATTGTTAAAATACAATAAAGTTTAAATGTTAGTGTTTGTTAGTCATATTTGATCTGTAATATGAGAAACAATAAGAATGACTGCAAGTTGCCTAGTTCATGTCCTGAAACAGAACCTCTCAATATACCTCAGTTATTTTATCTATCCACCGGTATGCAAGCTAAGATTTGATACTTTTGTGTGTACGCATGTAACATCACATCTATTGAGTATTTACAAAAATCCAAGCGCTCTTGTACACAATGGACTTAATAGGAATTGAGTTTTCACATAAATATTTGCGTAATTTACGCAGATACACAGCTTATCTATACCTCTGATACACCCTTGTATAAATTTGTTTTATCATGATCATCAGCAGTTTTGCAAACTGATTATACTTTTAAATAATATGATGACTTAAGAGTCTAGTTTTTAAGCAATGTAGTTTTTATGAACATAGAGATTTTTCTGGGTTACATCTTCTTTTTATTTTTTAAATTTCTATGTTCATCAAATAGCATCTTCTAAAATGCCAATCGTATCTAATGTAGTTTTTAGTTTTTTTCCAGCATGTCCAATCAATTCAAATAAAATAACTCTACCAAATCAAACTAGTCAATTGGATTATATGGTAGATCAGTTTGCAAAACGCGTTTCACCACCTGCAATGTAATGATTGAAATGTGTAGTTGCCATGTACAATACTAGTTTGTGTGATTTTTTTCACTTCACTGCCCCTTAAAGGCCCCACACACCAGCAGTGCTGGGCAGTTTCCGACTAAGGAATCAATCAAAATCTGTGATGCTTTGTTTTCCATTTGTTTTAGTTCAAGTTATTGGGAATTTTAAATGTATTTATACACGCTGAAAATTTGTAGTCGTTGAATAATGGATTCTCATTGTCTAAGGATCTGTTGCTGTTGCAAGTGTTCCTAGTTGATGTATTGATGTTGTAGTGAAAAACAATAACTAGTTTCTATAGGGCTGGTTGGGTAGCCCAGTGGTTAAGCGTCAGCTTCTCACGCCGAAGATCCGGGTTTGATTCCCCACATGGGTTCAATATGTGAAGCCCATTTCTGGTGTCCCCCGGCGTGATATTGCTGGAATATTGATGAAATATTGCTAAAAGCGGCGTAAAACCATATCCACTCACTCACTATGATAGTTATAAATATTATATGATCATTGTTTGTTTAAAGCATCGGATGCAAACAGAAAATCATATGTGAGTGAAGTAGGAAATCTATTAAATTGATTTTTGTTTTACCTCTTGCCACTGTGAAGTTTTTCAATATCCAATATCTCAACTTAAAAAAAATCCTGATATCTTGTCGAAACAAACCATACACCTGATTCATTTTTTACATTGTGGCCTTGTGAATTTCGATTTTGAACCAAATAGAAACAACATGTAATTATTCTGAAAGCTTGCCTGTCACCTAGTGCTTCAAAACCGTTGTTTTATGCCAGGGACACACTCTCTCATGCATATTCCTATATAAGCCCAACACAAAGTTGAACTAAGTGATAATCATAAATGAATTTGGTTCATGATGATGAAAAGAATAATTGAAACACTGATGACTCTGTAATTTCTCGACTCATGTAAACACAACTCTCTAAGGGACTCCTGAGGTGATATAGATTGTCATTTCAAATGAGTCAGGTCACATTGAATTATATGATAAATAAATAATGTGATCTTCAACATGTCCATTGCATGTGAAATGTCACACTCTCGTCAACAGTCAAGGTACTGCCACTGCCAGCATTTCCTTGAGGACACATACTTGGTACTTAATCTATTTGTCAAATTTCTTTAGTGCACTTTTTACAAGGGCTGGATATTCATATCTTCAAATATTAGGTATTGTGTGCTGCAAGTCTGACACACTGTCCCGTTTGAATGAATTTTTCTTGACTATAAGGAAAGACATATTATTTATATTTAAACTTTACAAAGGTGTTTGCTTGGCTAATCAATGGTAGTCATTAAAACATTTTACAACACTTATGTAGGCTATATCATAGCTGGATGGGACCAAATGTTCTGGAGGTAAAGGTATTTTCGTTTGTTCTTGGTTAATGACAGCAATTTTCAATCTGTGTCATGACAGTCTACAACTGATCAAGTCTTGACCAGACAAACCAGCAGATTGTCATACCAGAGTATAGTGTGGACATGCTGTCAATCAAGTCACTGAGTCGGACCACCTGAGTCATTTCTTTTGATAAGCTAGCTAACTTGGTACCTGACCCTAACTTACAACCCCCAAGGGGCAGAAATCAAGTAACCTACTTCATCAATTATTTTCATTGTCTGTTTGTAAAAACATTATGAAGCAGCTAATGCTTAATTTGGTTTGAATTTCAGCAGTCTTTTACCACTAACCCAAAACCATCATCATAAAGTTGTGTGATAATATTTAAAACATCAAGTCTTGATTGTCAACAGGTTCCATTGGGCATTAGGGCTACATAGGTTGGAACATTATGTGATTGGATCACTGAAAATCAGTGATGACACCACATATTAGTTTGTGTTTGCATGAATTGATGCCAGAAGACTACTTAGAGCCAGTCTACCCGTGAAGGTCTGGGTTAGAATATTGATCTTCAGTAACCCATGCTTGTCGTAAGAGGCGACTAACAGGATTGGGTGGTCAGGCTCGCTGACTTGGTTGACACATGTCATCGGTTCCTAATTGCGCAGATCGATGCTCACGCTGTTGATCACTGGATTGTGTGGTCCAGACTCGATTATTTACAGACCGCCGCCATATAGCTGGAATATTGCTGAGTGTGGCGTAAAACTAAACTCACTCACTCACTAGAGCCAGTCTAGTAACTCTTAGGCACGGACAACAGTTCCACTGCAAGCCTCTTGAACAGTAATGGCAAGATGAAGCATGTTCATCTGAATTCTCGTTACATATTTTACGAACATAATTATTTTTTTATTCACGAGCATAAGATTAATAGCATTGTTTCGAAACCAGTACCATGGCATATTGGATATTTTGCTGAAGTAGCACAAATGTTATCGAGGATATTATAATCGTGTGTATCTGTTCTCATGATATGTATTGAAATAGTTTCAAGTTCTGTTGATATGTCAATACTTCTATCTGTGACAGATGTACATCAGTGTCCACTGTGACTTTAGTAAATGCCCGCAAGGCAGATTTTAATATTTATTCATGTGCTTGGCTTGGTTGAACTTGTCAAACACAACATACTTGTGATTCACTGATGACAGACCATCCTAAGCCATCTTCTCAAATGGGAAACTGGTCTTAGTAAGGTCATTTTGTAATGAATGTTGGGAATGATTACTTTTAATTGAAGTTATGATAAGCGGTTTGAATTTTCCATAGTTGTACATGTTAGTAAGAATCTCATTGGTGAACCTTTAAGTTATGCTTGTGCTCTATATTATAGACGGATGTAGACCTGTCTTGATCCTGATACTTTTGTCAGTGAACAGAAGCTATCAGTGTCAGGTCTAATGTGTTTGAATTGATGGTAATCTTTTCATTTTCCCTCTAAATATGTTTTCTGACTATCAGTCCTCGCATTAATTTTGTTAACCCTCGCTAATTTCAGGTTAGAATTGGTCTCCAACAATGTATTCTTGTAGGACTCAACTGAAGTGGTCATAGCTCATTGCAATATCAACCAGTGGTTTATCGGGTTCAGAAATATCTGTTTAGGATATGGCAACAAACAGACAATAAGTAACAAATCGTCATTTGTTTTTGTAAGATCTGCACATCATTAAATAAGTCTTCAGAAAATGATTCATGTCCCAAATTGAACATGATTGCTGTGTGTTAAGCAACACTGAATGTGCTACCAGTATGTACATAAGTACAGAATTGATGAAGCAAAAATATACATTACAGCCTGAGGAACATCCTCGATAATCTCCAGGGTATACGTTACGATCACTCTCCACTATACCTGAATGCATACACGGCTTGGCCCGATAATTATATTACCTCCTTTTGCTGGCTCCACATTCTCACAGTAGCCAATCAGCTAAGCCGCCGTTACATCCAAGCTTGCCAGTGTCAACAAAAATAGCGGTCGCGAAGGTTTGTTCGCAGTGCCACTCATATTTTTTGGGGAATCATACAGACAAATTGACAGATCTGCAACATTAAAAAAATATATGGAAGAGCTCTTCTACCTCTTTCAGAGTACCTCTGCATCAATTGTGTTGCCAAGTTTAAATGGTTAGATAATTTAAGAAGCGAAAGTGAGTTGTGATTGGTTCGCTCAACTTCCCAGCGTAGACACCTGATTGGATAAAAAGCCAGCAAAGGGAGGTAATAAAATGCATCCAGGGTATAGTGGAGAGTGATCGTAACGTATACCCTGGAGATTATCGAGGATGCCTGAGGAATGAACAAGAATAATCATCATGCCAGATTCTTCACAAGAAACAAAGTTCTTGCAATTATAGAACTTAAATCTGAAGTTGAGTACACTATACCAACTCATTAGTCTACTGGACCCTCATATTTCCTGTAAGGTCCCTTGAAATAAGTAATTGGGTCCTCTGGGTCCCTAGTTTGGAAGGTCATGGTAGAGGGCTGTGATTACTAACTTTGTTCTGACAGAGGGAGAAAAGTCTCAGTGATGTTTACAATTTGATTGTCCTGTTTCAGGTGGACTCCTTCCTCCTTGATGAAGGAGACAATGACATGGATGATAGTGAGAATGTATTAGAGCCAAGTTCCAAGTTCCTCCTTCACACTGAGAGTGGCGACGCCCAGGGCCTACAGACAGTAGACCCAGAAACTCATGCTAGATTAGAAGCTTTGCTTGAAGCTGCAGGTAATAGCACCTAGTCTGTTGTATTTCATCATACAGGTACACTGAACCTGCATTACAGTAGCAAGTTGTAATTGTTGTAATGGCAGATCAATATTGTTTCTTCAAAACTGGACCACACCAATGGTCTAGTGGAAAGAAAGAGCTTTTCCCCACAAAGCAGAAGGTCATTGGTTTAATAACTAGTCGCATCATTCCTAGGGATGTTAAAGGTTTGCACTTTTTATTTTTCTGTTGACATGAAGGGGTTATAATAAGAATTGGTTGCCTAAGTATTGGTATGCATTGCGTAGAGTGTCCATGCTAAACTTCATGTGGTAACTTAGTGGGCTAGGAGTATGAAACCAGCATTTGTCCAGACTAATACAAATGGAGACTCACCCACATGCATGCACATCACTACATGAGAGCAGTAATCTATTGGTACAGCGATTTGATTACTTGACTGTTTACAAGTCGTCGAGGCACAGTATTGTTTCTGAAAGAAACTTGTAATTTGTTTCTGTGCTGCCATGTTTATATACACATGCTGAATTTTGCCCAATCAAATTTAACTGAGATCATATGCTGGGGGAAGCGGTTTCCTTGGTATTCAGGATTCCCAGGACAAGGGAAACCCCAATGTGTCACTATCACGTAAATCAATGACAGGACACTGCTTGAAATCAGATTGATATGTTTTAGATGAATACTTCTGTAAATGATTCTAAGACCGTACACCATTGCTGTGGTGGGTATCTGCTATGTTTCCTAAATTATTTCCTACCGTATCATGCATGTGGAGCCCTGTATAATAAAGTCCTGTGGCAGTGTGTTGACTGAGATTAGGCCACCAGCAGTCGGAAGAACCAACCAAAGGGCGATTCGTATGTCACATAATAGATTTTGATCATATCTCGACTTTTTCTCATCTACGAACCAGGTGTTCATGTGCACCAGATTTGGATAAAGCTGAAATATTGCTGATTGCAATGGAACCCAACATTCACATGCTCACTCAGCCGTGTTCTGACACTCGTGTACATCCTGGAGACTGCCACATTCCATTCAAATGATTGTAAATGTCTTGTGGCATTTGAACTGTTCATTGGTTTGTAATTGTTGCCCTAATTGTAGTCTGGCTCTCAACGACTTTTGACTTCTGATCAGAAACGCTACAGATGCTTCATCTTTCCTTAGGGGCTTTGTGGTAACCTAGTGGTAAAAAGCAGTCGCTCATCATGCAAAGACCCGGGTTTGATTCCCCACATGGGTACAATATGTGAAGCCCGTTTCTGATGTCCGTGGCTTGATATTGCAGGAATATTGCTAAAAGCGGTGTAAAACTAGACTCGCTCACTCACAAGCAATCTGATTGGTCTGGTCAGCGGAAGCATTATTTCCAGAATGACTTCATCAATACTCGCATAAAATTTAGAAATCGGTCTTTATTGAAGCATTACCATTTTTCAAGTCAGTGCTGGCAGTGATTGAGACATTCTTTCCATTCTTGCGTAAACAATGATCTATCTCCTGATCACAACAGATTTACCAGTGCGCACTTGGTCAATAACAACAAGAGTATGTCCTTTTTCCTCTAAACGCAAAGCTTTCGTCTGATAGGTGTCAGATTCATAGAGTAATCCATCCCACAACAATTTTCGTTTTCTTGTTCTTTTACTGATACTATAAATACTTCCACTCAGTGGACCAATCAGATCACTCATGAGGTAGTAAGTATGAGATAGAGGATGTTTGGTTCAAATTTGGGGACATATTAAGTTAATGAAATGGGTGACAGTTCATGGAAATCAGGCAGGATTTGTGGGGAAATGTATAATTGAGAGGTACATATGTATAGTTTTGAATGTCACTGAATTCTTAGTGTAAATTTCGGCCTGAAATCGAAAAAAGTCGCTCCCAGCACGATAATTCAAGATGGCTGCTCCTTTACTCTCTCTCTCTTTGTATATATATGTGTAGATCTATGGTCTCTGTTTTACCTACATAGTGATAACAGGTTCCTGTACATTGAGTATCCCCTGTATTCATCAGATTTGGGCCAATCAGTATTTTATATCTTACCACAATTGAAGAAAGGAGTTACTGGCAAACCTTATGCAAATAATATTGATGTTATTTCTGCTGTGGAGAAATTTTTACACACCCAGTGTAAATCCACACTAGTGAACTCCTATCAGTTCAGTTTGGTTGGCAAAAGTTTGGACCGCTGAGGGGTTGATGAGAATATTATATAGCACACATCTTAGGCTCAGAACTGTGTAAGTACCCCTTGTACATCAAGTTTAAAAACTGCTTTAATAATAGCCTCTAAGTCACGTCATTCAGCCCTCTTGCTTGAAAGAAGAAACACATAACACATTTCTTGTGGAATAAATCAATAAGCAATGTGTGTGACCAATTACCTGTGTAAGTGATATCAATGCTTCTGAAAATGGATGTGGCTAAGCAGTACATGTCTTAATGATGTAAAAATCAGGTCTCACTGATATAAATTGACCTACCTTGGTGCACTTATTTGCAGTTTTTATTTTATTGATTAAACCATAGACATTGACTGAGTCTAGTATGAATTGTGGTCTGTCGGATTAAAATTACTGTTCAAAATGAGTGTGGTCTCAGTATACCAGGGTATTAAAACAGCTATTGTGTTAAATACAAACAGTTTGTGTTAAACAATGAGGTTTCAATTTAATTTGCTCTGATTTCCAGGAATTAGTAAATTGTCGTCCAAAGATGGAAAAGCCTTGACGGATCCTGAGGTGCTGCGGACATTGACGTCATCCGTGAGCAGTGCCCTGGATGAGGCTGCCCAAGCTCTACACAGAATGCGAGCAGAGCAACAGAATCAACTTGCCCCAAATGAATGGTAAGGATCATGTATATTCTGATTTGTTGTTGTAGAAATACTGTTCCTTTCTGTTTGGATTTAATTGCCATAGTATATTAATCTAGGGACACACTAAATGCTAAATGTACCACAAGGGATTAGTTAACAAATCAAACATTACTTTAAACCAATATGAAAGATCTCCAAGGTGTGCATGTTTGTTTGATTTAGAAGTAAGACAATAAAGTTACGCTGGTTTTGTTTTAAGATATGTAGATTTCTTCATTGTATGTAGAAATCCATGCACAGTTCACCTTAGATGAATTGATGTGATTGTGTTTTTCCAGTGCAAGATCCCTTGCCGAGGCTTGCGGTGAGGGAGATGTAAATGTACGCAAGTTGTACGATGGAGGCAATGTGCCTGAACCGGAAGAAGGAGAAAGTTTGCTATCCTTAGCATGCTCTGCAGGATATTATGAACTAGCACAGGTGAGGAGACGCTGAAAGAGACATTGTAAATGATGGTATCAAGGAGAGATGAATGCTGTTTCTTAGCAGACCCAACACAGTTGTGATCCGATGGATCTCTCTCTGAACAAAAAAACAAACCAAAACCCCAAACCCCCCCCCACCCCATTTGTTATTAGGGGAAAAGTTTATCTCATGATTAAGTTGCAAATTGTTTGGTTAACAAAGTATAGTAAACTTTCAAGCAAAGATGGAAAATTGCATTTCACCAGTACCATGGATACTAAGGTATTGGATGGGGTATGGTTATAATATACAATAGAAACATTTAGTCAGGACATCCAGGATTATGTTTTTCGTTGCAGGTCTTGTTGGCTATGAAAGCCAATGTGGAAGACCGTGGAATCAAAGGTGACTGTACTCCTCTGATGGAGGCGGCTAGTGGTGGTCATGTAGACATTGTCCGCCTCCTGATCTCCCATGGAGCTGATGTGGATGCACAATCCTCTGCAGGTAGGTGCTACACCAAAGATTAAGGTGTTATGTTTTTTTTAATGAGTAGATTGTTTTCCCCTGTGTTAGATAGCTAAGATTACAGAAATTGGTTTTGCATGGTATCCAATGTTGCATAGAATGTTTTGTCCCCCGCCACAATGCGGAACGTGGGACTGTATTCTAGCGGCGTACGTCTGGCCCAATTCTTGTTAACGCGATATCTCATGAACTGTTGTACCCAATGTCTTCAAATTTGGTGACAGCCTACATTGGGGGATTACCCAGACACAAGTTGATTTGGGTGACCTTGACTTGACCACTTTTCAAACTCTTGTTAACAAGATATCTCATGAACTGTTGTATCCAATGTCTTCAAATTTGGTGACAGCCTACATTGGGGGGATTACGCAGACACCAGTTTATTTGGGTGACCTTGACCTTATCTTCAAGGTCACCACGACACTTTGACCGCTTTTCAAACTTATTTAAACGCGATATCTCATAAGACATTGCACCCAATGTTTTCAATTATGTTGACAGCCTACATTGGGTGATTATGCGGACACCAGTCTTTTCAGGCATCTTGTATGTGACCAAAAAATAAAAAGTAGTAACTATAGATATTCCATTCTTTAGCGAGCGGGGGAATTAGTGTTTAACCGAAAACAATTATTCACTAACTCAGAGTACCAATAGCTCAGTGCTTTCTACAAAATTTGGTGTTTGTCTGCAAATTGAATAGATTCTTTTCACAATAAGGGTTTTATATTGTGCAATTGATTAGAATTTAATTTTGTGATAATATTTCTTTTTCTTTGGCTCATCCCTGACTATTTTAGTATTAATGATATCTGTAGTGACTTTCATTGGAACTATTTCATGGTACAGATTGTTCAAGGTTGCCTTTTAGCAGGGCTAGCCTAGTGGTTAAGGTGTTCACTTGTAATGCTGAAGACCCAGGTTCGATTCCCCACATGGGTACAATGTGTGAAGCCCATTTCTGGTGTCCCCCCGCCTGTGATATTGCTGGAATATTGCTTAAAGCGGTGTGAAACTAAATTCACTCACTCACTCAAGGTTGCCTTTGTATTGTCACATGAGCTGCACTAAGTAGACAGTTTTTCTTTGTGAAGTTTAAGCTGATGGATCAGATTGATAATTTCTTTGACCTACTTTCAGGCAACACTCCTCTCCACTACGCAGCCTGTGGTGGGTACAAGGAGGTTGTACAAGAACTGATCAAAGCTAATGCACGAGTGGAGGTGCACAATGAGAATGGACACACACCCCTAATGGAAGCAGCCAGCGCGCTGGCCATGTGGAGGTAGCTCGCATCCTGCTTGACAATGGGGCTGGCATCAATACGCACTCTAACGAGTTCAAGGAGAGTGCACTCACTCTAGCATGCTACAAAGGTATTGGTGTTCTTTTGGTTGTATAAAACTGTTAACATAATATTTTTCTCTATCCTTTTCTGATATCTGATTTGATGGTTTCATTTTTTGAAAGAACACTGAAAAGTGTTGATAGTTGCCTTGATACTAACTTCAGGGAAGATGTGTACAGTGTAGAGAGCATTCTTTCATCCTAAAAAAACTTCCAGGTTAAATGCCCAGCATGGGTACTCCCTGATGTGATTGATTGTTGTTCTTAGTGACTTCAGAGTCTATTCAAGTAATTTGCAACTGGATGAACTATTTTATTGAATTTCAGGTCACCTAGAGATGGTGAAATTCCTTCTGGAGGCGGGAGCTGACCAGGAACACAAGACGGATGAGATGCACACAGCGCTGATGGAGGCATCCATGGATGGCCATGTGGAGGTGGCCAGACTGCTGCTTGACAGTGGAGCACAGGTCAGTCACACTATTCTGTGGACAAACCAAGTGGGAACTAAGTCGCTAGGATGATTGTCGGAAATGCTGGAGCTTAAGTGGCATATCAGTACGAGTGGATCTTTGGTCAGCACAGATCCTCAGTTATTACAAACGAAAATGCTGACAGTAATTAGGATCATTAATGTTCTTAGAACCAATTTAGAACATTTTGACTTTGAAGTATGGGCCTTGACAAAATGTTATCGGATATTCTTGTTAATATTTTCTCACCTACACAATGCACTTTTCTTCAGGTCAACATGCCTGCTGACAGCTTTGAGTCCCCACTTACTCTAGCTGCATGTGGAGGTCATGTGGAGCTGGCAGCTCTGCTGATTGAGCGTGGAGCTAACATTGAGGAAGTCAATGATGAGGGCTACACCCCTTTGATGGAGGCTGCACGAGAGGGACATGATGAGATGGTGGCACTCCTACTCTCTCATGGTAAGTGGTGGATTACCATCGTTATCAAGATTTCCTCAGTAAATATTATTACTAATTTGTTGGGTTCATCTTAATTATTTACAAGCCCTCTCAATATTTGAACAGAAAATTACTGACAGGTGTGAAAGAATTTCCACTGAAGCTAATATCAATAATCTGCAAATCTATTTTCCCACAGATGCTGATATTAATGCACAAACTGAAGAAACACAAGAGACAGCCTTGACCTTGGCATGCTGCGGTGGCTTCCTGGAGGTAGCGGACTTCCTGATCAAGGCTGGTGCCGACATTGAGCTGGGGTGCAGCACCCCTCTCATGGAGGCAGCTCAGGAAGGACACCTGGAGCTTGTCAAGTATCTGCTGGACCATAGTAAGTTAAAATATTTGCACAAAGTCACATATGCTCAATGTCAATTAGAACAATCTGTTAGCATGTATTGTCAAGAATGGCATTCCTGTCTAGACAATAGTTCAAGATACCAGTTGTATAGATCACATAAGAGCTTAATTCAACCAGAACTATATCTATCTGTAGTGACATCTAGAAATATCAGACGCACACTTGTCAATTTTCGATTGGGCTTGTTAGACTTATCAGTAAATAAGGGCAGACGATTTTCAAGACGTTTAAGGATATGTCCAATTTTTAAACTTATCCTATCTCACGGTATGCACCTCTCTTCTTCTTCTTCTACGACCATGTGTGGAAACGTGCTGTAGGCTAAATTGAATCAGATCTTACTGGCCTCTGACCCACCCTGACCTCTGCCCCCACTCCGACATCAGCACCTGTCAATCATCTCCGTAAGCGTGCAACTCGCTCAGATGATGATGTGACTACCTGTGCCTGTCATTCTCTTTCTTGTCGCTACGTCGTGTGGACGTGTGCTTGTCTCAGAAAGTTTGATTGTGTTTCTACAATGGGAAAATCGAATCGCAATAGTGCTAGAAAGGGCAAACATTGCGATAAATGCAACAGCGACTTCTCGGCAGCAGACCCTCATGCTTTATGTGTTGATTGTTTAGGACGTTGTGAGTGGTCTCAACGTTGCACTTTTTGTGCAGACCTCAACGATGATGCTTGTTCTGAATATCACCGGGTAGCTTGTAGACGCGTGGGATCGTCGTCAACCATCTGAGGGTCCTTCTGCGTCCCGAGGTTCTAAGACAGAACGCCGTAAAAAACTGCAGTCCGACGTTCGAAGTCGCCCGCTGAAGATTTTCTAGGGGAGGCGTGGGATTCTTACCTCAGTGAAAATTTACTTTTCCGTTCGCATGCGTCTAGCCCCATCACTTTAGAAGACTCTTCACCACCTAGGGTTGTTGTGTTGTCTACGTCTTCTCTTCAAACCTGTCCCTCTTCGGTGATACCTATTCCTCAGTGCACTTCTGTTCCTGAGGTGGGGGTTTCTCGTGCGGCGCATGGTGTGATTACTAGCATTACATCTCAAGTGACTCTTCCTTGCAGTGTGGCGCTTTCCACTTCTGTGGTTGATTCTACGCCTGTTTCCCATTCGGGGCTTGTGTCGAATGAGTCAATTGCTTCGGGTGCAGTGGATGGTTTCGGTGCCGCGCTCTTTCATATTCCGGTGGGGTTGACAAGTGTGTCAATGATTCCTAGAGTGCCTTTTTTCCACGTCTATCCCTTATCATGTACCGTTGGGTTATGGACCACCACGTTATTCTAGTGCGTCGTTTGCTGCTCCAGCACCGCTTACATCAGGACAGTTACCTGTTGGTAGAGCGCCGCTTGTTACCGATCCCATGATGTCATTCAGAGCGCCGCTTGCTTCCAGTGCAGCACTCTTTTGGCACCTCTGCTTCAGCGCTTACTCCTGATGTTCTCGATTCGGCGCTTCCTCCCGGTGTTCCCGGTTCGTCGCTTTATTCCAGTGCTGCCGGTTCGGCGCTTATTCAAGGAGGCTTTGGTTCGGTGCTTACTCACAGTATTCCCGGTTCGACGCTTGCTCCTGGGGCTCCTGGTTCGGCGCTAAATCCCGGTGCTCCCGGTTCGGCGTTTATTCATGGAGGCTTTGGTTCAGCGCTTACTCATAGTTCACTGGCTTCAAGGTTGACTCATGGGGCATTTGGTTCGACGCTTCCTCAGGGTTCAGCGCTCACCCCTCATGTGTCTAGTTCAGCGCTGGGTCCACTAAGCTCAGCTTTTGCTTCCAATGCCAGGGACCCTACGGGTTCATCGTTGCCTCATGGGGGTCAGCTGGATGTCCTTCTGCTCTCAGTGAGGTGCCTCGTCATCCCTTAGTGTCTGCGTCTGTTTCGTCGGTTCCTCCTACAACGGGATCATTGGATGATGATATTACGTTGCTGGGAAGTAAACAGAAAGCCTACTCGCCGTTCCTGGTGGAGGATCGTGAGCTTTTGCATCTGGATGGTGTCATAAGGAAGATGATGGCGCCACTCGACATGGTGTTGACGACTACCGAAGCAGTGGCTATGTCGGTTGCACATGCTACGTTTCATCAACAAGCGTATATTCGAACGGCTATGGTCTTATTGCAAGAGCAATTTCAGACCATTCTGGATCAGTTGGCTCACTTCTTTTCATATGTCAGAGCTGTGCGTCGCAGGGGGCCTTTGCACTTATCCTCATGGGAGGATAGGTTCCGTACTGATCTCTTTCGGCAGCCGTGGTCTGGCAGGTTTCTTTTCAACAGGGCGATTAGAGATGTCGCCAACAGAGTTGGTCAAGATGCTCATTTACAAGTGTCAGTGGAATTGTTAAAATTCCAACGTTTGCAGGTGGAGGAATCGTTGTGTCGGCGACGACCATCCCGTTATGTTCCTGTCAATCCGGACCTGCGTGCGGGTTCTGCTGCTTCCTTTCGTGGAAAGGGATCCTTTGGCAGAGGACGGTCCAGCCGTCAACGTCGGGCATTCTCTGCTTCACAACCAGCTTCCACTGCCGACCAGTCCACTTCGCAAAGGCCTCGCAAACAGTGACTTGATGACATTAAAACGCGACTGGGTTCTTCCACCTCCAGTCGTGCCCTTTCTGACTTTCCCAGTAGGCGGCCGGCTTGGGACCTATGCTCCCAACTGGATCATATTGGGAGACCCTTACGTCCTCTCCATGTTATCCACAGGGTTTCAGCTGCCAATCATCGGGGATCCTCCTATCACTTTACTTCCAGATCGCAGAACGTATCTCGCTCAGCAGACGGCTGTTCTTCGAATCACAATAGACACCTTACTCAAGAAACTAGCTATCGAATCCCTGGTTCAGGCTCCGACCGTCCCGGGGTTCTATTCTCCAATCTTTCTGGTCACCAAGAAGGATTCGGACAAACTGAGGTTAATCTTCAACATGAAGATATTCAACGAGAGGTTTCTGCAGCCTCCGCCCCATTTTCACATGGTATCGGTGGCACTCCTCAAGACCATTATCAAGACGGGAGACTACATGGTCAGTTTGGATCTCCAGGATGCGTACCTGCACATCCCGATCTTCCCGGCTCATCGCAAGTTCCCTCGGTTTATCTTCGAGGGCACCCACTATCAGTGGCATGTCCTCCCATTTGGAATTTCTTCGACCCGGGGCTGTTTACACGGGTAACGAAGCCTATCACAAGTTTCCTTCACCGCAAGGGAATAGTGTTCGAGGCTTACATCGACAACTGCATTCAGGCGCAGACCAATCATGCCCTTCTGCTTCGTCACATGCAGTTTGTGATACAGCTTCTTCGCCAATTAGGCTGGTTAACCCATTCAACACCGCAGGCCGAATAATCGGCCACAACGTTATGAGTCCCCAGACACCGGAGGCCGATTAATCGGCCAGGCAGTAGTCACGTCAAAATGAGACATAATTTTAGGAACCTACCTGACTTTTGATTCATATATCAAATCTATCACATTTCACAATGTCTGAAAACACTTATTAAATTTCAATTTATCATATATTATCAGCAGAATTAAAATTATAAACTATTTTTCGCAATATTATTGAAAACAACGATTCTCGGACACATGCTTCGGCAGCGGGTCCACAATAACATTGTCAAAAGCAAAGTAACGATGTTTCGAGAAATTATTAAATAAATTGAATAAACTAATGAATAAAATCAACAACAGCATTCATAAAGTTGTCAAGCGTACATATAAAATTACTATTTCCATCTTTTGTGTCGCGATCATGTAATGCAAGTCAAGTCACTGACAAGTGACATCTCGACTCTAGCAGCCTCAATCTTCACGCCGGACCACGATGTTTAATGCGAAAATACATACATGAAGCATTTTGTCACAATTCATAGCCTAGCGATCACGTCCAATAAGTTCCATAATTTACGTATTGGTAGCGATTTCTTGCTTAATATGTTCAGAATAGCATTATTTTACCCAAAACTTTTGTCCAAATCTAAAAGATTTCGTTTACTTAGGACGGTATCCATTGCCGTAATATGATTGGCTGCCTTAGGTCACGTGTCTGATTTTGACCAATCACAACCCTTATAGCAGACTGTGGCGAAAAGCGTCATTAGAAACCAATCTTTATCCAATAACATCACTTCTTACAACTGTGAAAATACTCTTGGCAAGGGTACAGTGATATTGTTGATGTTCAGAGCTTCGAAGCGATGCCCGACATCAAAGCGATTTGCAGCGCATGTTATTCATCTGAAGTGCCGAAAGCGGAGGTATTTTCAGTTGTTATGTCATTTTACCGGCGGAAAGCCGCAGATATCGGAAATAGGCGACCATACATATTGTTTAAGAAATCTTTGTATAATAATTTTCTGATTACGTAAAATGAAAATATAAAAGAAAAAGGCACGGGCAATTTATGACATGTCACAAATGGAAAAAATCGCCATAGTTTTTGCTCCTTTCGTGGTTTATCTGGACGTTACAAATGTAAACTTGCATTTTCATTCAAATATAATTTTATTTAAGTTGTAGTTGTATTACTTTAATAATATTATAAAAATAAACTTCATATTTATCAACAGTAGGATTAGATCTTTTAAATGGTGTATGGGATGTAGTAGCAATAACGTTTTACAAGCTTATAATTTCCTTCATAAACATAGGCTTCATCTATGACCTCAGAGTCTCTGGGAACTCGGTGTCATGGCAGTAAATGCCTCTGGTTGACTGGTGTTGAAAGAGTTAATCAATCTGCAGAAATCGGAACTAGTCCCTACGCGCCGTCTTCAATTCATTGGAGCAATGTTCGACACAGAGGTCAACAAACTCTTTGTCCCGAGGGATCGTTTTTGCAAGATACAGCGATTGGTCTCTCTGGCACTGGCGCACCCAAGGACTTCGTCAGTGGCAGGAGCTCCTGGGCCTCTTCACGTCGACTCAGGCGTTGACCGTCAGGGGTCAACTACAACTTCGTCCCTTGCAGTTCTTTCTAGAGCCTTACATCAGAGTGGGAGATCCCCTTGCCTTGATCACTCTACCTCTGGAGCTCCATCCCCATCTCCTGTGGTGGATGGAAGAATTGAATGTTTGCGATAGAGTTTGTTTAGGGCCGTTTGTTCCGTCTCACCACCTGTATGTGGACCCGTCTCAACACGGGTGGGGAGCTCATCTTCTCAATCAACAAGTGGCAGGCTGTGGTCTCTCATCGATCGCGCCTGTCACATCAACGTTCTGGAGTTCAGGGCGATGATTCTTGCAATCAGTCACTGGCAGGATGTCCTACGAGCAACTTCCCTCATAATCCGATAGGACAACGCAGCGGTGGTTTGGCATATCAACAGGATGGGGTCCACAGGGTCTACTCAACTGCTGCAGTGGACCCAACAGTTCTTCGATCTGGTGGACTCGCTCAACATCTTAGTCCGAGCCAACCACATTCTAGGGGTGAAGAATGTCATCGCAGATTCTCTGTCCCGGCCGACAGATGGAGATTGGAAATTACATCCTCAGGTGTTCCAGACCCTTTGTCTTCCGTTGACGACTCCGGCAGTAGATCTCTTCGCCATCCGATTCAACCATCAGCTGCCTCGGTTTGTGTCACCGATTCCCGGACCCTCTGGCTTGGGACCTCGATGCTCTAGCCATTCCGTGGGAGGACCTGAACGCTTACTCGTTTCCGCCAGTGGCCGTTCCTCCTCGCATATTAGAGAATGACTCTGCTTTTGGTCGCGCCCTATTGGCCGGCCAGAAGTTGGTTTGTAAACCTTCAAGACCTAGCCGAATAAGATCCCGTACCACTTCCTGTTCGACCCGATCTCCTGATACATCCTCACTCCGACCGGCTACATTGGTCCCCATTGACGCTCCATCTGCACGCTTGGCGCATCTACATTGGTCGTTAACGTCGAAGGGCTATTCTAAACGGGTAGCTACTGCCATTTCTACAGCGCATCGTACTTCTACAAGGTCACTCTACCATGACAAATGGAAGAATTTTGAAGCGTATTGCAGGGAGAAGGGCGTCTCATCCCCCACTACGGCCTTCCCGCAGATGGTGGCAGAGAACCTTCAACATCTACGAACCTCCAGAAAACTCAAAGGTTTTACACTATCTACCTACCTGGCTGCTCTTAACATTGTTTCTCGGGTGTGGTTTGAAAGGTCTAGACATGCGAGAGTTTTCCTTGGTTTGCGATGGGATTTTCTCGCCAAGAATCAGTTACCAGGACAGCCGGATCGCACATTCACGATTCCGCCGTTGTCCACTATCTTGGACTCAGATGACACTGAGGATCTGTCCTTATGCCCGGTGTGTGCATTAAGGATTTACCTCGCTGCCTCACAGGATCGCCGCAGACTGCGTAAGAGATTGTTCATTCCATTGTCTACTGCCTCGAGCTCGGAAGTCTCCCGTACTACCTTGGCGTTTTGGATGCGAACTACGATCCTGCTTGCTTATGCCTTTGCTGACCTACCTCCACCGTCGACGGCGAAGCCTCATGAGACTCGAGCTGTTGCCTCCACCATGGCTCTTCATAGAAATTGATCCGATACGGTGTTTGCTTCACACTACCTGAGGGACCTATCGGTTACAGACGTGGAAGGTCTACATCAATTCTGCCCCTTGGTCCTGGCGCAGCAATTGTCATCGGCCCGTCTTCGCAGATAAAGCAATCCTTCTTTGGTCGGTGTTGCTCTGTACATAATAAAAGATATTGATGTTATCCATGTCTTGGTACTTTTTATCCCCCGCAACGCGTTTTGCAGGGGGTATTAAAATGGACCCCGTCCGTGCACATTTGTCTTTACCGGAGCAGAACTCTAAAACCATTAAATATTTCTTCACCAAACTTGGCACATAAATTGGTCTGGTGGTGTACTGGTGCCTTTTGGTAGTTTTGGAATTCTGAATAAAATATTTTTGGCATTTCCATGGCAACAAGTTTGACTTAGCCTGAAATTGGTGATAGTGCTCCTTTCTGGAGCAGAACTTTAAAAACCTTTCAATACTCTCCTTCCACTTTTCTATATACACACCTAATATTTGACATAATCATAACTCGTAGACATAATCATGAAGAGTATTTTGCCATTGTGGGGGATATTGATGACTTTGTCTTCTTGTTTCCATTGGGATTAGATTATTCTCACCTATGGGAATAGGGAGTGTCTGCACTGTCATAAGTAATGACTTAATAGAATGTGAGGCCAGTCTTGTGCTACATGCAGAGATGATCGACAATCCGCTTACTGACCTCTACTCTCCGAGCAATTACGTCAGTAAAGTGTTGATTTTCGATTACCTACATGGTTTTCGAAGCGTTCTGCTCCTAAATCCTTTCTCACCTTGGTGAGTTAGGGATTGGTATGAGCGATTGACAGGTGCCTTGATGTCTGTGTGGGGTAGAGCAGGGACTGGCCAGGGCACTGGGGAGGTCAGGGTGGCGGGGCCAAGGGGTCAAGAGGAAAACCACCGGGAGCCCAGTCCTAGAGATTTGATTCAACCCATCTCAAGTTTAGCCTATCAGCTCCGCCTCCTCTTCCACACATGGTCATACCAGAAGAAGAAGATAAGGTGCATACCGCGATACTCTACCCACCTGAAATAGGATAGGCGTGAATATAAATATACAATTTATCATAAAATTTACAATTATGTAACTCAGAAGGCTATAGAAGATGAAATTCACACACATGGTCAGAGTAGAAGAAGAAAGGTGCATACCGTGAAATAGGATAAGTATATAAATATACAATTTATCATAAAATTTACAATTATGTAACTCGGCTATAGAAGATGAAATTCACTTCGCTTTTGTATGCCCACATTATGCTGATTTAAAAAAATATATCCCAAATAATTACCTGTTAAAATATCCTTCATCTGCCTTTGCTTCCATTCTATCCTCCAAAAATGAAAATGTAATACAAAATCTGTTATCCTTAGAAGAAATATATTATTATCTCCCGCCGCGTGTTTAGCGTGAACGGGGGATATAGTATTAGGCTCCGTCTGTCCGTACGACGTACGTACGAATTGGAATATCTTAAGAACCATTCACTAGATTATTTTCATATTTTGTACCTAGTATAAGTATAAGTCACAGTATAAGAAAGGTCCAACTCAGGTTTGGTGGCCTTGACCTTCATTTCAAGGTCACAAGGGGACTTTAACATTTTACATGCATGTTAAGTTATATCAAGAACCGTTCACTGGATTTTCTTCATATTCAATACCAAGCTTTATCTAGGGAAGGCGCAGGGCCCAGTCCATTTTGGTGACCTTCACATAATTTGTAGGGTCACGACGACACTTTGAAGATTTCAGCATGTTAACCTGAATTGTCAGCAAGATATTTTAAGAACGGTTCACTGGATTTTCTTCATAGACTTTTAAGACTTCTCTTGAATGTTTTTCAATAAGCAATTTCTTTAGTACTAGTTTTGCATATTTCATACACTATGACATTCATGTCAAGGTCAAAGTCAAAGTCTACAACTAAAGAACATCATGAACATTTATGAGTTTGATTTGATAATTTGCGGCGGGGGATTATGTCACCTTTGTGACAATGCTTGTCTGAACTGTAATTTCTTTGTGAAATATCTAACATGTGCTGTATATATACTTGTATTACTTGTTTATTACTCATTGTCTTTATAGAACATCCAAGGTTCAGTCACTAATTTGAAGTCAAATGTTCGAAGTATTTTAATGCACAAACACATCCTATATCACATCCTTTGTTTTCCAGACGCCAATGTCCATGCTCAGACTGGCACAGGGGACACCGCCCTTACATATGCCTGTGAGAATGGTCACACTGATGTTGCAGAGTTGCTTCTTGAAAGAGGAGCAGAGTTGGTGAGACTTCTTGCAATACCTACATTAACTGTGACTTCAGCATTTTCTACTGAAACAAATTTATTATGAAAGTCTCCCCAAACCAAACCTAAGCTTATGTTTAAATGTGTATCAATTCTGTTTAGATTTTGATGGTTTTGTTTCTTTCTAAGACAGCCTTCTTAATTCTTGCAAGTAACCTACCTTTATTACATGACTAATTTTAAATCTACTGCACAAAGACAAGGAAATGTACATGAATCAATGGGATTCAGGATACTATTTTCGGCACAACTGCTAAAGGATATAGTTCACAGTGATGAGGAATTAAGATGAAAATCTTATGGTTGTGTAATTTGTTTTGACAGCCAAAATAACAAAATCTGTACTAGTGTTGTAGTACAGTTAGTATTCTTAGAATTATGAAGTGATGACCCTTGTTTGATATCCTTATGTTTTGTAGAAGTGTACTAACCTTAATTTGTGCCTCTCAATAGGAACATGAGTCTGAAGGGGGAAGAACTCCTCTCATGAAGGCTGCAAGAGCTGGTCACCTCTGTACTGTCAACTTCATCATTATCAAAGGTACCCTGTGATATCTGAAAAGTGTTTTGTAACTGTAATCCAGTATTCATTCCGTATCTGGCGACCTCTACAGGAACATGTAAATACAATAGTAATGGTTCGGTGCCAACCAATCTCCTGGTATGACTTCTGAATAAGACTTGTGTCCTTTCAGGATTAATGACCAGTTCTTTCACTTTAGGAGCTGATGTTAACCGTGCAACAACTACCAATGACCACACTGTGTTGTCTCTGGCCTGTGCTGGGGGGCCACTTGGCTGTTGTCGAGTTGCTCCTTGCTCATGGAGCTGACCCAGGACATAGACTGAAGGTTTGTTTATCAAGTCTTCCTTTAGTGGATATATGATATATGATTCACCTTGCAAGTAATAAATACACTCTGAATTTCACATTTGGTTAGCCTGATACTCAGCCCTATCGAACATTCTTGTTGCTTATATTGAATGTCAAGTTTACTTTCAAGGTCATACTCTAATAGTAAGTTGTTTAGGTCGACCTTCATCCAGGATCATGGTCATGTTAAAGTTGTTTGTGAAGTTTATAGGACTGTTTCGGGTATTCAGGGCTCTTTTCCTTGAAGATATTGAAGGTAAATCATTGAGATGTGTACATCTTTACCATGTTAGTAAATAACCCAACTCGCTTCCTGTATGACCGTGGTATGTATTGAATGCTGTTTGTGTTCACCAGGATGGATCCACAATGATCATCGAGGCTGCTAAGGGAGGCCACACTCAGGTGGTGAAGCTGCTACTGGAGTGGCCCAACAGGGTCCTCATGGCCAACTCACCTGACCTGCCGCAGATCAATGCTGCAGACTCCAACCACGAGGAGGTAAGCAAAGCAAACATCTTTCTGATAGGAAGTGTCTCGTGACCTTGTGTCATTAAGCTGCATAAACCATGATCTAGATTATTTAAAGGTTATTGTGCATTTCGTTATGTCATGCTGATGCTATGGTTATCAAAGATGAAGGTCATCTTCAAGCGAATTATGAAACAAGGATGTGTCATTTTTGCCAATTAATGTTGCATTTTTACATGAAACTTGTGTAATATTTTCAATGTTATTAAGTTGTCTTGATTGAGGTACAGGTCTGGAAGTAGATGGGGGTATGTTAAAAGTTAAACTTTGAAGAAATGGTGATAATATGGCTGCTTCTGTTGTTGCAAATAAAAGATATGTGTACTGATGATTTAGTAGAGAGTCATTTATTTTCTCTTGTGATCAGATGTAGTATTTAGGCTAAATAGTGACCTTGAATCTGTGAGGATGTGAACAGTGAACTTATATATCTTTTCTGTTACAGCAGCATAGAGTCCCTGTCCAAGGTCTTGCTAACATTGTCCCACCTAATGAGCCAGACTCGCAACCCTCACCTGTAAACTTTACACCAAATATCCAAGGTGTGTTGCTGTTCTTTCTGTGATTGTTTATGTTTCTTGTTTTGTTTTTTTGTTTAAAAAGAAATGGATTTCTGAGGGACATAGCTAAGGAAACACATCTAATTGTTTCATATTATTACATGCTAGACCCTCAAAAGCTGTTCATGTATTACTGCAATCAGTTTGAGACAACAGTCGATGTCAGATAATCTGATAAAAATAAACAACATATTCTTTACATTCGTTAACTGTCCACAGGAAAAAATCCTGATGTGATACGGCAGAACATGCAAAAATCTATTGCCAAGAGATGTTTGAACGGCCAAGTGGCCGAGGCCAAAGTGGGAAAGTCAAGCAATGCTGTGATAGCAGAGAGTCTGCAACAGTTGAACCATGATGGAGCAATGCTAGCCGATCTTGCCGAGGATAAGGCATCAGAGAAGGTGGAGGCTATCATTAACAACATCATGGCCAAAGAATTAATCAATACCACTCCAGCCACCAAAGAGGAGCAGATATTGAGGAAGCAGCAGATCCTGGAGGAGCTGCAGAAAGTGGAGCGAGAGCTGCAGGAGAAGGCCCAGGCTCAGCTCCTACTCAGTGCTCAGCAGCAGTTCGAGCAGCAACAACAACAGGTAAGACATGCAGGTATACTCACTGTGGAGGTGTTGAGGCAGCATGCATGGCATGAATGAGAATAGGGTGAAAATTATTAACCTGTCCCAGGCTTTGCTAGTTACAGGCTGCCAGGAGAAAGCTCACTGAAGTTACACATTTTGAGAGCAACGCTGAGGTGAGGTTGAAAGTCATAGTCATGTGAACCAGTATTGTTGATCAGTACCAAGAATAAGCTTGTTTTGTAACTCCCAAGTATCAATGCAGCTGCACAGATATGCAAACCCACCAAACCCACCCACACCCCCACACAACTCTAAAACTTCTTAATATCTTTAAGCAAATCTTGGCAGACATGTGGGGCTGATCTTGAAGTGGTGCCTTTTGCTATTTGTAGATTTTTATCCCACCGGCATGTAATGCGGTGGGATATAGTCGTCACCTCGTCCGTCTGTCCGTCCGTAATCATTTTGTTTCCTGATCATAACTCAAAGACCGTTCAATATTTTTTAACCAAAATTGGTAGATATGTCAAACATAACCTAAGGTGGTGCCTTTTGCTATTTACAGATTATTGTCATTTTTATTTTTCTCGGTTTCCATGGAAACCTTTTGGACTTAGTCTTAAAGAAGGGTGGGCTTCGTTTCCGGAGCATAACTCAAGAACCGTTCGGTATTTTTCAACAAAACTTGGTAGATATATCAAACAGATCCTAAAGTGGTGCCTTTTGCTATTTACAGATTTTTGGCATTTTTATTTTTCCCGGTTTCCATGGAAACGATTCGGACTTAGTCCCAGAAGTGAGGGGTGGGCTTCGTTTCCGGAGCATAACTCAAGAACAGTTCTATATTTTTCAACAAAACTTGGTAGATATATCAAACAGATCCTAAAGTTGTGCCTTTTGCTATTTGCAGATTTTTGGCATTTTTATTTTTCCCGGTTTCCATGGAAAGCGTTTCGCATAACTCGACTTAGTCCCCAAAAGTGAGGGTAGGCTTCCATGGAAAGCTTCGAGCACAAGGCTTCGTTTCCGAGCACAACTCGAAAACTTCTCAATGTCTTTCAGCAAAACTTGGCAGATATGTGAGGCAGATGCCAAAGTGGTGCCTTTTGCTATTTACAGATTTTTGTCATTTATTTTTTTGATGATTTCCATGGAAACGATTTGCACTTAGTCTAAAATCAAGCTGGACTTTAAGTAACTGTCAGATGCTTTGTTCTTTCAAAGATGTGGAGGCCGGGGGGATATGTCATCTTCTGATGACTCTTGTTTTCATTTTTATAATTCTCGGTTTCCATGGAAACGATTTGGACCTAGTCTAAAAAAAAAATCAAGCTGGACTTTGAGTTACTGTCAGATGATTTGTTCTTTCAAATATGTGGGGGCCAGGGGGATATGTCATCTTCTGATGACTCTTGTCTTGTTAATGGTTTAACTGGTTAATATTATATGCTGATGACTGCAGTTTTATTAAACATTTCTCTGGGGATACTTTGCTTTCATGTATTATTAATGATTTCTTGCAGGTGCTTGTTCAGACTGCAGCAAAAATCAAGAATGCAGCTCAGGCCAAGCAAGGAGAGAGGAAGGATGATGGATCTAGTCAGTCCCAGGCTCTTCCTGAGGGACTCGGCTTAAGTGGAGTCTCCTCCGACATTCAGTTTGCTAATGACATTGCTGCACAACTGCCAAAGCTTCTCACAAGTGCTGATCTCTCTGTCGCCACCCAGTCTCTTCTTCCTAACTACCCTGAAGCCTTTTTACAGCCGGGGCCACAACCTCCCAACAATGGAGCATCCAACAGTATAACCGAGCAGAGACATCAAGTGGGTAAACCATCGTCCCAGTCCAAAAGAAGTGGTAACACCAAAGGGTCAAGGACCAGTAAAATCCCACCAAGCACTCAGTCGTCAGCATTAAGTTCATCAACAGAGCATAATGGAGGTGAGGAGCATGGTCTCCATAGTTGTAGTGATGCCACAGGTCAGTTCTTACAGTAATATTGCTTTTGTATTTAATGTTTGCAATGATTGCAGTTCCTGTCTATGCTTTGTGAATGTTGGAAACCCTGTTGATCCAAAGTGACTTTTCCTTTTGATCAGTATTGATTAGCCACTGCTTTTGTGTAATTTCACTTTATACTATATGAAAGAAGTTCAAAAACACCCAGTGCTTTAACATTAAGACAGTAATTTGAAAAAATCAGTGTCCTTTATCTTATTTTAAGCTGTATATATGTAATGCAGAAAATGGGTACCCGGTGGGATAAGTCATGTGACTATAACGTTTAAGCACATCACAGGCAGCTAGGGTTATACGGGGTAATAATGAACTGTTGAACTCTGTTCCACCATACTTGTTTCGTAGAACTATGTAAAAATGCTTAATCCAAGTTTGTGTGTATCACTTTGAAATGGATCAATTACAGTAAAATTGACTTGTTTGTCTACGTTTGTTGGATCAAATTGTACTTTGTAGCCCACCATTATAAAACTGAAAGTATAAAAAGGCTTTTAACCACTTTTTGTGCTCAATGAACTTATGAAACCTTTGTGGTGATACATGACATAAGCTGAAGGCATAGGTGGCCCAATGGTGAATGTTGTGACAATTAAGTTTGTGCAGAGTTAATTCCCTTAGCTGTGCAAGGATCCACATTTGATTTTGAATTCCAGATTTACTCTGCTCTGAGTTAGAGTAAATACTCATTAACCAGTGCTTGCTGAAATAGGCAACAAGATGTATGAGGTCATCAGACCAGATGACTTGGTTCATTGTTTGTCATCATATCTTGCTGATGTGGAATGTTCCTCACAGTATTCATCACTGGCTTGTGTGGTAAAGGCACAATTGGTTATATTTTCATTTAGCTGGAATATTGCTGTAGCCTGGTTGTATTGTTGTAGCCTGGTGGTTAAAATGTTCGCTCGTCACGCCGAAGACCCGGGTTCGATTCCCCACATGGGTACAATGTGTGAAGCCCAATTCTGGTGTCCCCTGCCGTGATATTGCTGGAATATTGCTAAAAGCGACGCTAAACCATGCTCGCTGGCTCACTCACTCACTATATATTTGAGTTTGGCCTTCACTATGTAGTTGTGATGTGAGTAAATAGTGTGCAGTTTGACATTAAACCCAACTCCATCACTAACCTGCTATGTCCATGTACAGGGTCACAGTCTCAGGAGCAGTTCCAGCTGTCAGCCCCAGCACAAATTGCAATGGATGCTGTACAGAGACAACAGCTGCAGGTTCTTGCCCAGCAGCAGCAACAGCATCAGCAGCAGCTGCCACCACATATGATCCAACAGCTGCCTCAACAGCAAGACCAGCTTCTCCAGCAGATGCTGCAGCAACAGAATATACAACAACAGTATGTCCAACCGCTGCCGCAACATGCCTTGCAACAGCTCCTACCACAGTCCAGTCTCCAGCAGCAGGTAGGCTACATTGTCCCGGCTACTCTGCCTTGTAGCAGTACAAAATTGTACATGATAGAAACCCTGTGTGTACTCTGAGCTAGAAATGGTCCCAAGCATCCTATACTGAATGAGTCAGTGTGGTTGATGGTGTTTTATTGTACTCAAGCAAATATGCTGTTAATGATGGATGGATCCCTACAGCAAGGTTAGACTTCATCAGCAACCTAGGCAAATGGATCATATGACGAGGCATTGTCATCGTAGCCTGACAACGTGTATCATTACTCCTAATTTCAATCCATGAGTGATTTATCGTTGGGTGACATCAAGTTGCCAAGAGCAGCATTACATGACATACACCATAGGAAGTATAGGAAGATATCATGTTGCTGAAGAATTATGCTTACTGTTGCTTACTTTGGTTCTCTCCCAAAAATAATCCCATCTGCCCATGCTTGTAAAAAATGCTGACTTATGTAAATGTGTGTGTTCAATAAATTATATTTTTCAAATTTACCATTAGGCAAATATGTGTAATGTAAATAATATATGTCTCATTCAAGCTAATGTTTGAGTTCTGTTGAGAGAACGTTGAATGTGTTAAGTGATACATAAAGTGTATAATTGTTTTCTATACTGTTGACCCAGCAGCTGTTTACCCAACAGCAACAACAGCAGTTCCTCCAGCAACAACAGCAGGCACAACAACTTCTTCATCAGCAACTACAACAACAGCTGAAACAACAACCTGCAAACAGTAACAGCAAGCAGCAACATGTCCGGAAACAACAACGGGTTGCTCCGAACCCAGGAGAAGAGTCAACTCAGGGGAACATGCCAATACTGGGCTCACCACCACCATCCACACCGATGACGCCCAACCCCTCTCCTGCCTCCCCACAAAGTCTAACCCCTCTGTACCCCTCAGTGGAAGTGGATGTGGATGCTGTCACAGAAAGTAACCATGACACTGCTCTCACTCTGGCTTGTGCTGGTGGGCATGCGGAACTCGTCAGTTTGTTGCTGTCCAAGGGATCAGACATCGAACATAGGGACAAGAAAGGTGGGTAACATCCTTGCCCGAAAAGAATATTGTATGGTACATGTAAGAAGGGCGAATCATGATTGATTTGTGAGCACAAAATCTCACCCTGCCCTCATTACTGAAGTATATGTTTTGTGTAAATTTGTTACTTTCCCCCCAAAATGGCATCATGAAGGAGATTATAGTCAACGTCTCGTCTGTCCACCCATTATCATTCCGTTTCCAGAGCATAACTTAAAAAACATTTGATATTTTCAGCAAAAATTGGTATATTTATCAAACAGAATTTAAAGTGGTGCCTTTTGCTATTTACAGATTTTTTGTATTTTTATTTTTCTGGATTTCCATGGAAACAACTTGGACTCAGTCCCAAAACAGGGGTGGATTTCATTTCCGTAGCATAACTAAAACATCACTCAATATTTATCAATAAAACTTGTCAGATATATGAGGAAGATCCCAGAGTGTAGCCTTTTGCTGTTTGCCGATTTTCGACATATTTACTTTTCTCGGTTTCCATGGAAACAATTTGGACTTAGACTGAAAAAATCAAGTTGGACTTGAAGTAACTGTCAGATTGTTCTTTCAAATTTGTGAGGTCATCTTGTGATGACTCTTGTTTGTTGGACATTAGGGGTTTTATTTTCGTCAGGAAGATCACACTTTCCATCTTGGTATAATATCATGACTGCCCTCTAATTGTATAATAATAGTTACTTGTTATCTACCTTGTTGTGACTGATGTTCCTTTGTGGCAGGGTTCACCCCTCTGATCCTGGCTGCCACTGCTGGTCATGTGGATGTGGTGGAGATTCTGCTGGACCATGGTGCTGACATCGAGGCTCAGTCAGAGAGAACAAAGGACACTCCCCTCTCCCTCGCCTGCTCAGGGGGCAGATACGAGGTAACAACCACATTAAGCAGTACTTGAAATTAATGGGGTACATGGATTTGTATATTGGTGTTGTTTGCATATATAAGTATTAGATATTTAATTTTATGGTCATGACAAGGATCATTTTACTTTCATCTTTTGACAGGATATCTTAGTAATCATTACCAAATTAGAAAAGAAAATGTAGGGTATATATTGGACCATCCTAGAAAAGGGAGCAATCTGAAACATTATATATTAGACAATTATTAAGAGCATTCGTGCTCAACGTGAATCAACGACTAGTGTGGGTTTTTATCACACAGAAACTGTTGTAAGGCTGTATTTGGAAGTATACTGTAAACCTTGTACCTCCAGGTTGTGGAGTTGCTCTTAGCCCCGAGGAGCCAACAAGGAGCACCGTAACGTGTCTGACTATACTCCACTCAGCCTGGCTGCATCTGGAGGCTACGTTAACATCATCAAGCTCCTCCTGTCTCACGGGGCAGAAATAAACTCAAGGTTTGTGGATTCTAGATGATAACCTTTGTGTCAGTGAGAAAAGGGTTCAGAACTAGCGGTAATGTTATAATCATTGAAAGAAATGTGATGACTTCAAGCACTTACAATAAATAAACTTCCAAGAGATATTAGCCTGAGATGTCATCACTGAATATTGTGAAACTATGAATGAAGGTGTGAATTATGTATTGTTAAGGTATGGAGACTTCAATGATTTGGATTTTGTTCCTTTGTACTTTGTAAAATCCATGTATTCTTTGCAGAACTGGGAGCAAACTGGGCATTTCTCCATTAATGTTGGCAGCCATGAATGGGCACACAGCTGCAGTCAAGTTGTTACTGGATATGGGCAGCGACATCAACGCTCAGGTACTGGCAATAGTGGAACACTTTAAAAGTGATTAATTGTGTCCTTCACAAACCCTTTGTATTGGGATCTTTCAACCAGTCTTGAGTTATGGCTACCAACTGAAATGGAGTTTCAAAATTAAAAATTGCTTGTTTTTCCATTGCAGATTGAGACAAATCGAAACACAGCATTGACACTGGCATGCTTTCAGGGAAGACACGAGGTTGTCAGCTTGCTTGTCGACAGAAAAGCTAACATTGAGCACAGGGCTAAGGTAATAGATTTGTTATATAGTCGACGCCTTGTCTGTCCCTCCGTTCGTAATATTTCCGGAGCATAAGTCAAAAACAGTTCAATATTTTTCTGCATAAATTGGTAGATATATCAAACAGAAGTTTAAGTGGTGTCTTTTGCTATTTACAGATTTTTGTGATTTACTATTTTCTTGGTTTCCATGGAATCGATTCAGACTTAGTCTCAATAGGGAGGGGTGGGCTTCGTTTCCGGAGCACAACTCGAAAACGGTTCTATATCTTTCAACAAAACTTGGCAAATATATGAAACAGATCTTGAAGAGGTACCTTTTGCTATTTACAGATATTTGGCATTTTAATTTTTTCGATTTCCATGGAAACGATTTGGACTTAGTCTAAAAAAAATATCAAGCTGGACTTTCTGTAACTGACACAGATCTTGAAGTGGTGCCTTTTGCTATTTGCAGATTTTTGTCAGTTTTATTTTTCTCAGTTTCCATGGAAATGTTTTGGACTTCGTCTTAAAGGGAGGTGTGGTCTTCGTTTCCAAAACTAAACTAAAAAAACTTTCAATATTTTTTTGCAAAACTAGGTAGAGCCAAGCTTCTGGTGAAGCTGGACTTTCAGTAACCGTCAGATGATTTGTTCTTTTAAAAATGTGGGGGCCGGAGGGATATGTCATCTTCTGATGACTCTTGTTTTTAGATTGCCAGCGCTTCTTTTAACTCTAAATCAACATTAGCTAACCAAATGCCTAATTAAAAGTTGAATGTTGGACAACATACTACTAGAAACGTGATGTTTGATATTTGGAACAGTCCAAAGAAACATCACCATTTCCCTATTGGCAAGTTTTAATTCCTGCCTATGATTTTCCAGACTGGTCTAACACCACTGATGGAAGCTGCATCTGGTGGCTATGTGGAGGTTGGGAGGGTGCTGCTGGAGAGAGGAGCTGATGTCAACGCCCCACCCGTACCCTCCTCTAGAGACACCGCCCTTACCATTGCAGCTGATAAGGGACACTACCGGTTTGTGGAACTGCTTCTGCACAGGGGGGCGGCTGTTGATGTCAAGAACAAGAAGGGAAACTCACCTCTGTGGTTGGCTTGCAATGGTAAGGACAGGTGGTTCTTGAAGCTGCTTGTGATAATTAGTGGAACTGATAACTGGTGGAAAATATTGTAATTAATCTTTACATGTAAGGTTATGTAGGCATATAATTTAGAAACAAAAACTTGAGTAGTGAATGATGTATGGCCAAGGTGTTTCATCAATAACCAAATTACATAATATTGTGTAGTTCATGGTCAAGAGAGGCAAATAATTGTCAAGGGTGATCCAACTTGTGTCTTGGTAGATGCACGTCATAATATCCTAATTTCACAGACCAATGCACACGATGTCTGTCGCTGGATAGTCTGGTCCAGACTGGTTATGTACAGACTGCGGTATATAGGTGGAATATTACTGAGTGCTGCATTAAAACCAACAATTACATTATTCATTCATTCTTCCTTCAGGAGGTCACTTGGATGTGGTACAGTTGTTGGTGACATCAGCAGCTGATATTGACAGTCAGGACAATCGCAAGGTATCTTGCTTAATGGCTGCATTTCGAAAAGGCCACATCAAAGTAGTCAAGTGGATGGTGAAGCATGTCAGTCAGTTTCCCTCCGACCAGGAGCTACAGCGCTACATTGCTACAGTCACCGATAAGGTAAGGATGAAAGCTATACAGTCACCGATAAGGTAAGGATGAAAGATATGAAACTTTAGAATGGAATGCCACAAGCTTTAAAGTATACAGTATGATTTTCACACCTTGATGTGAGTGTATTTGTCTAAAATTATTCAAAATAGTACCTATTACACATAGAATTCCAATCCATTGCCCAAAACTGTCGTGGCAATAAAGTTAATGCTATTCCCATATTTCACACATTTACATGTATACATTTACAATCATAGCTGTACAAGATCATTTTGTAGCCTTGTGGTTACTTTTTTTAAGCATTATGGTGAAAGCCTTGGTTCAATCCAAACAGGGCAATGGGGTAGCCTAGTGGTTAAAGTGTTCACTCATGATGCCGAAGACCTGGGTGTCACTTACCATGATTTTGCTGGAATATTACTAAAAGGGATGTGAACCCAACTCACTCAAGTAGTTCAGAATAGTACTCAGGTACCTTATAGACATTTCTACTTGGAGCAGCTAGAATGAAATGTGGTAGGATGATTTTTGGATGAAAATATTTGAATACCAACAGTAGATGAACTACTTAAATGTACATGTTACCTTGTATGAAGCCAGGTAAATTGTAGGCCATTGTGATACAGCAGGCGATGACTTGGAACACATGTACTAGGAATGTATTAGAAGGTGTTTGTGACTATTGTGTTAGAGATGTATGTTTTCTACTCCAAGGAGCTGCAGAAGAAGTGTCAACAGTGTATGGAGATCATTGTAAATGCGAAGGACCGTCAGGCAGCAGAGGCCAACAAAAACGCAACCATCTTACTGGAGGAGATTGACAAGGAGAGGCAGGTGGAAGAGAACAAAAAAGCTCAGGCAGCCAAGAAACGAGAACGCAGAAGGAAGAAAAGGAAAGAGAAAATGGAAAAGGACAAGGAAAAGGACTCAAGGTTTGTTAAGAAGATGATTAAGGCCATGTTGGACTGACGAAGGGTAAATGTTACATAGGGAATGTAGTCTTTATATTATATTTTATCAGCACTATGTTTCAGAATGGCTTGGCCATTACATGGATGGGCACATAAACATCTGAGTTTAAACAGAGCTTAGATTAATAAAGATGTCAGAATAGATAAAGCAGATTCCCATAAGCAATCCCTAATATGGAATATTGAAATATTACTATTGTTTTCAGCAGTAAGAACTCCTCCCCAGAACCCGAGAGTGTGGAGACTGAGGAGATTCCCTTGGAGAAGGAAGAAGAAGAGGAGGAGGAAGAGATACCCTTAGAACCACCATCAGCAACAACAACCTCCACTATCGGTAGGAAAATTGACTGTGTAACATAGCACTGTGTGCAATCTTTGAGATTATATTTGACTGGAATTTGCATAATTTTGCCTGATTTTTATCCCCCACAGCGTGTTTTACAGGGGGTATTAAAATGGATTCCGTCCGTGCACATTTGTCTTTTCCAGAGCTGAACTCTAAAACCGTTCAATATTTCTTCACCAAACTTGGCACATAGATAGATCTGACGGTGTACTGGTGCCTTTTGGTAGTTTTGGAATTCTGAGTAAAACATTTTTGGCGTTTCCATGGCAACAAGTTCGACTTAGCCTGAAATTGGTGGTAGTGCTCTTTTCCGGAGCTGAACTCTAAAACCGTTCAATGTTTCTTCACCAAACTTGACACATACATAGATCTGGTGGTGTGCTGGTGCCTTTTGGTAGTTTTGGATTTCTGAATAAAATATTTTGGCCATTTCCATGGCAACAAGTTTGACATAGACTGAAATTGGTGATAGTGCTCCTTTCTGGAGCAGAACTTTAAAAACCTTTCAATACTCTCCTTCCACTTTTCTATGTACTAACCTAAGTATTTGACGTAATCATAACTCGTAGACATAATCAAGAAGAGTAATTTACCATTGCGGGGGATATTGATGACTTTTTCTTCTTGTTATACTTGTTTTAGAAACAGTATCATCATAATTATTATTACCCATTGTATTCATGACAGTAAGCTAGTATTCTTTGCTGAGGAATGGTTGTCACCTCAAATTGTGTAGGTGCTAGATGTGCTGTGATATAGTTGATACAATGATGCTTGTAGTGTAAATGAGTAATTGGTCATTGCAATATTTTATGGGAATGTTTTGTCACAGGAACAACACTGACATCAAACACAGAACCCAAGAACAGTCGCAAAAATGGAACCCTGGTCCCAAGCTCCAGCACAATGGAGTCCCGCAAGAACAAGCGCAACAAGAGTCGTCAAGAGCGTGAGAGAGAAACTCCCCCTGAGTCAGCTGAACCACGAGTTCCTATTGTCACCCCCACCATTGCATGTCTGGTTACCAGCATTATGACTACCACTGTTACGACCACTACAAGCCGAGTGAACATAACATTGGGAAGGCAGGCACATGCTGGGCACCACCGAGAGAGAGATCGAGATAGAGAGGGACGGAGGAAGAAGAATAACAACAACAACAACCAGGACCTGGTGATTAAGTCAGCAGGTTCATTGCAATGTTAGTACCTTCTCTTATTTGTTCATGGTTCAGATTTTTGTTTGAAAAACTGGTCAACGTTCAGCTTCTAGTTTTTCTTTCCCTTAAGATTATTGATTATGATAACAGATTGATAAATTTTAGCTTCTGTTTACACAGATATTTATTGTTTGTTTGTTTGTTTGTGTTTTCTTCTAACTCATACAACAATGCTCTTTAGATATGAGAAGTCATGTGTGTAAACTGTGAAGAAAGCATGGTTTCAATATCCACATTTCCACATTTTCAGTTCACTCGCCAGGGATAGGGGATCTGGATGATTTCGGGTCTGTGCCAAAGATATCTGAAAAGGAGATTGAAAAACTTACTAAGACTAAGAACAATGTGTAAGTAATTCTTTGTTAAAGTCTTTCATGGTGTTCATATATTAGGTGTATGTAATCAAATTGTTTGGCAGAGGTGATGATTGTTTAGTGATCTGTACAATATGTTCAGTTTTTAACCTGCCGGATGGAATTGAGGTTGCATAAGTGCAATAAGCCACTTATTTACTTGTGCAAAAACTATTTGCTTGCATGATAAAGATTATATTGCTGACTTAGTGTATCACAGAACATGTAAACAATCCTTGGCCATCATTTACTCAGTCACTCAGAACACTGCGCAATGTGATGGGAAACATTTGACAAGTAGCAGTGTACAAATCACCTGATATAAAACAAAACAACAACTGTGGGTGCATGTGGCAGTGCAGAGTCGTGTAACTTGGGTATGCCAGAAATCTATGATCATGGGTTTGATTCTTGGTTTGTCCAGATTAAGTTTCTAGGTCTGTAGGCACCTTATTTGTGCACAGTGGTTCCAGCTGCATGACTTCGGACCTTTCTCCCACATCAGCCCAAGATGCACTTTGATGTAGCTTTGGTTTTAAACCAAATTTGCTCATTTGTGGGGGAAAAAATTCACACCCACTACCACAGTGGGGTGTGACTAAGATTGAAAGTATATCTGTGTGTTTGATGAGAGTGTGTGTACAATATAGCACTGTGTTTACAGACAACAGCCATCTCCTCTGACGAGCAAGGAAAATCTTGGTCACCACCATGAGAAGCCCTCAGCAGCAGACATGTCCCCCAACACCCTGTCCTTGAAATCTACACCTGTCATTGCAAGTCCCAAGCGGGGGCAGAAGAAGGAGGAGGGCTGGAAGGAGGTCATGAGAAAGTAAGTTTTAGACATTACGTTTAGCACTTTTTAATTGCTAGATCTTAGGGTATCATTGTCATCAGCAAAGCTTACTAGCCTCAAAAATTCTCAATACTGGCTTTGAAATATTGCATAAAAATTTTCAGAGTGCATTATGGTTGTACGTAGTGTTACAAGCTTTTTTTGATTAGTAAGACAAGAAAAGACAGCGTTACTATAAATGTTGTTTTGCTTTTGGATAAACAGTATACAGTACACAGATTCTGAATCAAAGCTTTGATGTATGTTATTATCCCCCGCCGTGCGTTTAGCGCGAAGCGGGTGATATAGTATTAGGCTCTGTCCGTCCGTACGTACGAATTGGATTATCTTAAGAACCGTTAACTAGATTCTTTTCATATTTGGTGCCTAGGTTCATCACAGTATAAGAAAGGTCCCAGTCAGGTTTGGTGACCTTGACCTTCATTTCAAGGGCGCATGGCCCAGTCGATTTTGGTGACCTTCACTTAATTTTCAAGGTCAACGACGACACTGAAGGTTTCAGTATGTTAACCTGCATGTAAAGATTTTCAGCTAGATATCTCAAGAACAGTTCACTGGATTTTCTCCATAGACTTTCAAGATTTCCCTTGAATGTTTTTCAATAGGCAATTATTACTATTTTTGCATATTTCATACACTAAGACATTCATGTCACAGTCAAAGTCAGTCTTGAAAATATTTGTGCATTTGAACAACTACAGAACAAGATATCAAGAGAGATTGACTGGTCATGTTTTTGTTGACATTTAACTTCATCTTAAATTACCATCTTCACTGTCATTACTTTTTAAGTTTGATTTGATAATTTACGGTGGGGGATTATGTCACCTTAGTGACAATGCTTGTGCTACATTAAAATACCAGATCAATAGGAACGCGTATGTCCTATGACTATCTAACTATAAATATGACAATCTTGTTTGTGCAAGTTGTTTTGATTGTGAAGTTTCACCAATTTTATTACACATTTCAGATCCAAGAAGGTGTCGGTTCCTTCCAATGCCATCAGCCGTGTGATAGGCCGAGGTGGCTGCAACATCAATGCCATCCGGGAGGTGTCCGGAGCCCATGTGGAGGTGGAGAAGCCTAAAGGCTCTGGGGAAAGAGTTATAACAATCAAGTAAGTCATTGATGCTATTTATTCCCCGCAACGCGTTTTGCAGGGGGTATTAAAATGGACTCACTCCGTCCGTGCGTCCGTGCATAACTTTAAAACGTTCAATATTTCTTCACCAAACATGGCACATAGATAGATCTGATGGTCTACTGGTGCCTTTTGGTAGTTTTGGATTTCTGAATGAAATACTTTTGGCGATTCCTTGGCAACAAGTTTCACTTTGACTGATATTGGTGGTAGTGCCCTTTTCCGGAGCAGGACTTTAAAACCATGCAATATTTCTTTGCCATACTGGGCACATAGATAGATCTGGTGGTCTACTGGTGCCTTTTGGTAGTTTTGGATTTCTGAATAAAATACTTTTGGCGTTTCCTTGGCAACAAGTTTCACTTTGACTGATATTGGTGGTAGTGCCCTTTTCCGGAGCAGGACTTAAAAACCGTTCATTGTTTCGTCACCAAATTTCAAACAGGTAGGTCTAGTGGTGAACTGGTGCCTTTTGGTAGTTTTGGATTTCTTAATAAAATTTCTTTTTTGTGTGTGTTTCCATGGCAACAATTTTGGCTTCAACTGAATTTGGTGGTAGTGCTCCTTTCTGGAGCAGAACTTTGAAACCTTTCAGTACTCTCCTTCCACTTTGCTATATACACACCAAAACATTTGACATAATCATAACTCGGAGACATATTCATGAAGAATATTTTGCCATTGTGGGGGATATTAATGACTTTTCTTCTTATTCCTAAACATCTGAATTTCCTTAGCTAATGTCTCTTCTTCACAAAGAGAAGTACATTAGTGCATTCTCTCCCATGAAGTGGGAGGGAGATATAGGTTGTGGCTCCATTCATCCATCCATCCGCGATAATACAGACAGATTTTCTCCAAAACAGTTATATATAGGGAAACCAAAGTTGACATGTGTTTTAAGGACATGAATGCCTTGATGGAGTTCAAAAATGAAAACCGTGTTACAGTTTGTTACAGTTATGGCCCATGTCATGCGTTTCTTGACTTAATGCATGCTATCCCAAATTGGAACAGATTCTCTCATTGAACAGCTTGTTTATCGCTATTTGTAGGAAGAATGAATAGTTGTCAAAAAAGGAACAGAACACTGTGGCGGGGATATTGATGACCATGTCTTCTGGTTGAATTTATATACTATTTGCCCATGAGGTTTTTCTGTTCATGAGATGTTATTCCTGTTTGTTGTTTCAAAATACCAATTTTTTATATCGCAGGATTTCCTTAACTCTTTTCTTCCCTCTTGTAAGATTGTCTGTGGTCTTGTCTCCCTAAAGTCTGAGTTTATGACAGTGGTGAAGTATCATAGGTGTAGAATGAGGTTATCTTCCTGTAAGTTATGTAGCATGCATACTTTTAGACCTAGAACAAACATAGCTTTATTCAAGTAAGACTCTAATACATGTGCTTTTTGTCTTGCACAGGGGGGTCTGCAGAGGCAACTCGACAAGCTAATGCTCTGATAATGGCCTTGGTGCAGGATCCAGACAAAGAACTAACAGAAATTCTGGCAAAAAATAAGCCTAAAGCTCCATCAACAGTCACTATTGCTGACTTTGCCATTGGAACATTTAATGCTGCAAATTTGTCAAACTCTGCTAGTTCCACCTCATCTGGTTCAGGTAGTTTGTCGACCAAGTCCCCTGCCAACAGTACCAAGTCCTCCAGCACTCGTCAGTCTTCATCTGGTCAGGGCAACAACAGCTCATCTGGGAAGTCATCTATGTCACAATCTATGGTGTGGCAGGGCTCTGGAACTACCCAGCCTGTCCCTTCATCCCCAAGACGCAGCCCTCAAAAACAGATTTCCTCCAGTCACTCTGGGTCTCCTGCACCAAACCATCACAGCGTGGAGAAAACTGCTTCTCGTCAGCTGTTCCCGTCGGACAGGAGAAGTTCAACATCTCCAGTGGTCACTTTCACCAATTCCTCCACAGTCTCCTATAGCTCCTCCTCCACAGCAGTTAAAGTTGTTCCGTCAAGTGCTAATTCCACACGTGGAAGGCCCGACAACAGAGATCAGGTCACCACCAAATCTGCTCCGCGAAACCTGTTACTGGTCCTGTTAAACTTCTCACTCGTCAGGCTCAACCAAAACCAGACCCCCAGCCTCTGCCGATTGTAGCAAGCCATGGGACTGGAAATAATGTATCTAACGTTGGGCAGCAGGCTACACCTTCCCCAGGGTCCTCCACCCCTGGAGAATATTTGCCTTTCAACAATTTATTCAGTAATTATGGTGCCCAGATCCTGGGCAAGAAGGATGATAGTACTGATAAGATGAACTTCGCCAGTGTAGCTGCTGCAGGAGTGGTATCTACACTTTCCAGTCCTCTGGCAAATGTCAATGTTGCCTCCGCTCTAAGCGGCGAGAGTCACAAAGTTGACCCGAGCCTACAGGCAAAGGCTCCAGGATATAAACCAGGCAGAACAGGTTCTCCTCAGTTTCGTCAAGATATGGAACAAAGCAAGAATCCAGGTTTTAAAAATTTTCACCTTCCAGTTCAAGCAATGCAAGGAGGCATGGGCGAACTGGATATGACACGAGCACCAGGTTTCCGGGGAAACATGCCACCTTCAGGGATGTCCCCTCGGTCTAACACCTCCACGCCTAGTGGACTCTCTCCTCGCAGCCAGACAGGCACACCCCTTGACTCCAGTCAACATTCTATCTCTTCTCTCTCTAGTCAAAAGGAAGAATACAGTATGCCAAATCAGCCAATGACACTCCCTGAGATTAAGAGCACTTTGAACCCTAATGCTCCTGATTTCCAAATCTCCTCCACCAACATGAACCAGATGGTAAATGGCCTGCCGGGTGGCATCGGCCAGGAGCTCCATCCACTGCCACCAAGTGCACTCCAGGCTCTCCACCAACAGCTCCTCAATGCCCAGCAGCTGCTTAACTTCTCCAACATGCCTCAAGGCAACTTCCCCATACCGAACGAGCTCCAGATGCTCCAGCAGCTTAGCTCAGTTGGTAACCAGATACCCAACCCTATGGGAAATCAGATGAACAGCCAGATGCCCAACCCCATGTCCAATCAAATAAATAACCAAATGCCAAACCAGATTCCAAATCAGATAGGCAGAGATCATCTTGGTGGTCAGATGGGCAACAACCAGCTGGGTCAGATGGGAAACCAGATGCCTCAAGGAGGGGGTCAGAATCAACCAGTTGGTCCTCCGGGTCCAAATGGACAGAATCCAGGCTTCCTGCCCCAGATGATATCTCGCACCCTCTCCCCAATGCCACCACATGCTCGCCCAAACAGTGCTCCATCTATGGCTGGCATGTCTCAAGGTAATTAATAGACAATGTTTTCAAGAATTTTCACCTTTAAGGTGGTAAAGTTCCATGGAAATTGTGTAAATCTTTCTTCACTCTGTATTAAATTTGTTGGATTTTTGGTGGCAGTCAAGTATGTTTGTGCACCTTGGTTTAAATGTTCCTGTGATGTGCAAACAATTAAATCCAGATAAGTTTGTCATAGCTGCCTCATTCAGTACAGTAACACACATTTCATGGTGTCCTACCGCAGTGATATTGCTGGAATATTAATAAAAGTATCATTAAACCAAATTCACTCACTCATTCAATACTTTGTACGGATGCACCACTTTGAGTATTACCATATTTAGTCTTAGTCACCATGGAAGTAAAACTATTTGTACATTTTGTAACTTTCAGTAGAGAGTGGTTCCCCTGGTCCCATTGGTCCCCCTCGAGGTACTTCACCAATGCCAATAGGCACCCCACCGCTACCTGACCCTGTGAAGAACAGTATGGATGACCGGAGGGTGCCACGACCTATTGGGGGAGAACGGAGTCATCGCAAAGCCCCTGGTGCAGGTCCTGGGAACATTGGACCTGTCGGGGACTTCAGCAAGCTCTGGGGCCTCAACTCTGCAATATCTGGTGAGTAGTGGGGCTGGCTATGAGTCAACTGGTCAACTTTAGCACAAATTTTATGCAAGACTATAGTGCTTCTTTGCAGCTTCCGGTTAAATCTAAATACACTTGTTCAATAGCATGTCCGCCATATGGAATACTTTAGGAGTTGCCTCCCTTGCTTCATTCACCCACAACGCCAGAAGTGTTTTTTGCAGAATAAATGTTACAAAACTTGTAACAATAACGACGGCAGATTAAAAAAAAAAAATCTCCTATAGTTCAATGGTAGAATTAGGCGATTGATATTTCTTTTTAATTTCTGCTTATTCTTTTTCCTTCACTCTGTTGAACCGGAAGCCGGCAGGGGTAATGAAGGCGAAGAAAGATTTGCCATGCCACGGGTGGTGCTTAAAATGTTGAATTAAATATATTGTATGTGAGTAATTATTAATATGAGGTTGGAAATCTGAGAGCACAACCCTGTGAGGAAATGGGTGTCTGTCTACCTTTGATGGTGGCGATATTTTATTTTGATATTTAAAATATTTTTCGAACTGAAGCGAGGAAAGCACATTGCCAACCTTTGCTCGCTTTGCTTGCATTTTTCTCTCTGTTGTGCAGCTTTATTTGTGCTACGGTTTGCCTGTGAGTGAAGTGACACTACATGAAAAAGCAAACTTGAATTGGTTTAAAACATCCAGAGCATGTATATACAACTTTCAGATTTAGTCATGATTTCAACAGTGTGTGTTCATGTTTGACCGATGTATATTTTTCAGAGCTGAACTCTGACTGGGCACCAAGCACGTCACCCATGATGACCAGTGCATCCATGCAAGCCTCTGTGAGGACATCATCTGTGATAACGCGGGGAAACATGGCTTACACTCGGGACGGAGATGGTTCCACCGGAGAGCCAACTCAAGATCCCAGCTCGTTTCCTGAAGGCCTCTCTATAGAGGCAGCAGTGGAACAAAATTTTGTGGTGGGTAGTTTGTACAGTCATACTTCAGCCAGCAGTCAGTCTGTCAATAACACCCTTGTTAGAAAACAAATTTGTTTACGACTATAAAGGAATTCTGTAGAAGGACCATTTGACTGATGGATCAAAAGGACATATGAGAATTTGAACGAATGTTCTCTCCAATGATGAAACAGAAAGCAACATGAAATCAGTAAATTGAAGACATGTATGGTTGTTTTCAAAAGCTGGAAAACAGTTAACTAGTCATTATATAAATTAATAAGAAATATACAAACTATTTGCTACTGTGTAATCCTTCAGCCAAATATACAGTGTATTTGGGTTGAAACATTTAAACTGATGATACATCTTTTGGATGTTATCAGCATACCTAGATAAATAAGACTGAAGTGCTTGGTGCATGATCCTGTCCATTTGTAGCTCTGTAGTAAGTATTTTACGGAGATAGATACGCATTAACTGTTCAGAATTAAGGCTAGTCTTGACACCCCTGGCGTTTCCCCTTGTAGTGTTTAAATGTAGATGCTCCCAGAATTTTCAACCATCACCACTGGGGTTATTTCAAGGGCCCACGATGTTTAAAAACTAGAGTTTATTTGTACTTTTATGGATGAAATTATTTCTTTTATCATAAAGAAACATTTGTTACTGTGATGAACAAGAAATTTAAGATCATCTCTTTTTACCCTGTTTTCAGAACCCCCAGATGATGATGGCAATGTTTCCTAATGGTGTACCTACTAACTTCCCAATCCCCCCAATGTACAACCCTCGCATGAGTGGAGATGGCGTGCCCACCATGTGGCCTGGCGGAATGAAGACCCCGCTCTCCGAGCCTGTAGAGAATGGGGTGGGTGAACACCACCATACATAGAGGCAATCAGTCACCCATCTTGTATGTCTACGAACTGGTGATCTACTGTAGTTTGTTCTACTTATTGTAGTGTTCATTGTAGCTGTTTAACATACAGTGCTTTGCCAATATTACATAGTTTTCGGAAACGTAATTTTTTTTGTCATATGAAAAATGAAACTGTATATGATATAGTTGAGGGATTTAATATCAATTCTGTTAAATTTGAAAAATGTGCTTTAAACTAATGTTATTTGTTGACGACTGGTGTAATAGTGGCCAGCATAAGTTATATTATTGTTGAGTTGAAAATTCCATGAACAAGTCGGCTTGTGACATCCCTTTGTTGTCTGCTTTGTAATTTCAACTTCTCAGGATTCATACCAGATGAAAGGAAAGGGATCAAACCATTGTTTACTCTTAAAAGTCATAGGCCTAAGGCTGGGGTTCTGTTTCCCTAATGAAAACAGTGTGTGTAGTTAATTTCTGGCGTTCCACGCCTTTATGATAATGGAGTAATGCGTTGTTGATCCATACTCACTTGCTCTTAAAATCCACTGATAAAGGAAAGATTGGCAATGGCATATGTTATCAATCTCTGTGGTATCAAGTTACAAAAAGAACTGTGAGATCTGAAAGTGACAAGATTTCTTGTATGTTTCCAGAATAACTGGAGTCAGTGGAGTCAGCAGGCCGACATGTGACTACAACATTGTCCCCCTGGCTGTTTGGAGGACTACCCTTCTGCAGTTCAGATTAAACAAGATAATATCCATCAACGTTGATTATTCGGCAAGGGGAACCTGCTTTATCTGGCTGTATTGTGGCCTCTCGCTGGTTGGCTGTCTCAGCCTTGTGCTCGTCCTCACGATAGCAATGAATGGATGATTGATTGTGCTTGTGTCTTTTCCTGCAATGCCCAATTTAGCTTTCCTTCTTGACAATAGAGAAAAAATGTAAAGAAATGTATGAATAAATTGTCAAATGAATCTCTTTGTGATTGTTGAAAAAATATGACTGCATGTGTGGATAAGCTGCCCATGGTTTCGTCCAGTCGCTCAGTTCCATCCCTGGTGAGACTCAAGTTCATTTGAGCATATGGGTTGGAGTATCAGGTTTGCACTGAATATGTTCATTGTGTCAGCACCATGATACCCGTGCAGGGCCGGTAAGGTAGCCTAGTGGTTAAAGTGTTCGCTCGCCATGCTGAAGACTTGGGTTCTATTCCCCACATGGGTACAATGTGTGAAGCCCATTTCTGGTGTTCCCCGCCCTGATATTGCTGGAATATTGCTAAAAGAGGCATAAAACTAAACTCAATTGCTCCATACCCGTGCTCATTTGTTTCTTCAAAATGAAATATTTGCAACCTGCATCACTGTCCTCTCACGTTAAGCTGATAAACAGTGATAAAATACATATTGATCAACAAGGTGTTAATCATGCCTGCTTCCCTCAGTCATTGGGGAAAAAAAAAAATAGGGCGGTGCTATAGCATATTGGTTGAAGCGTTCGCTCGTCACGGTGAAGACCTGGGTGCGATTCCCCACATGGATATCAGGACCATCAATGGCAAGACTTGCGTAACTGGCTTTTGTTCCACATGTAGCCAACATGTCATGATGTAACTGAAATGCACGATATTGAATCCAACTCAAGTCACTTTATGCAGTATATCACAATGGTAGATGTCGCTGAATGAGCACTGCTACTTGCACACACACACACAAAAACAAATCATCAGCAAAGAAAGTTAACTCCTACTTCAAATCGTGTGCATAAAACACAGCACTGTTCCTGCTATATGATGGCAGTCAGTAAAGAATCGTATCTGGACCAGACAATCCAGTGATTGACATACTCAAGCATAATCTATGCAGAAAAATGACATGCTTTAACAAAGTCTAATCCCAGAATGGGTTGGACATAGTCAATTCTAACTCGGATCTTCTCTGGTGACTTACATGGAACTACTTGAAACAAGTAACATCCTTCCGTCACTTGTGATATCTATGTAAAATCATTGTTGACCATATAACACTTAATTCTGATCACAATCAGTGTGACTCATTAATCAGTGTTTTTACAACCACCAGTAGTAAACTCGAACACATAAATCCCGATGACGTATCCTGCAGGAAGCTGAGATGAGTCCCCATGACACCATGCAAGTGGCTCTCAGCTTTGCTTGCAGCTGGCTTAAAGATAGTATTATACACAGTTGTGAATAATATTGTTACCTTCTACTAAATTAACAACCGCCTCCGTGGTGTAGTGGTTAGAGCGTCCGCCAAAAGAGCGAGGGTCGCTGGTTCGATCCCCGACCGCGTCATACCAAAAACGTTAAAATATGGTACTTGTTGGTCCCTGCCTGGCGCTCAGCATTAATGGGTATGACAAGGACTGGTCGGCTCGGAGTCAGTATAATGTGTCTGAGTAGAGTATTCATGCTTCACTGCGGTGTCGTATCTCAGTGGGCTAGCACTATAAAACCAGCTTGAGTCTGGGCTAGTACAAGCAGCCGCACATACACACGCATGCACGTCGTCATATGAGCGAAATATTCTCAAGCACGACGTTAAACCCAATTTCACCTCACCTCACCACTAAATTAACAAATATGCTTTAAGAAATAACTGGTGGTGAGGTAGCGGTGTGATCAAAGCATCCGCTCATCACACCTAAGACACAGGTTTAATTTCCCAAGTGAGTACAAGGTGTGAAGCCAATTTCTATTGTCCTTGTGATATTGCTAGAATATTGCAAAATGCATCACAAAACCACACTCCCTCACTTAAACTGACTTGCAGTTTATGGTGCACTTGTGTATGCATATATGACCTTGTTCTCATCACTATATGGCTGAAAGAATGCTAGACATCAAATTTTGACTTTCATTTGGACCTTGTACAGAATACACTTGTAATTATAGCTTATGTATTTGCAAGATTTGAACTGAAACAAATTGGTTTCCATGGTACCCAGTTACTTTACCATGTTTTTTTAAAGCATACAGTGCTTTGCATCTCAGAAATGAGCAACCCTCTTTGCCCTGAAGAATTTGTGGCACTTGTCAGCAACTAGTATATCAGTTGTCAAGATCATCACCCTCCCCAAGACTTGAAACCTGAGAAGCATTTACTGTAGGTCAATGAAACTTGAGACATGATCTTTAGTAGCAGATTTAGGAAGGAAAAGTAATGTTTTTTGTGCAGAACTAAGTCTCTTAAGCATACCAGAAGTCTTAATCCCGGTCTTAATCCCGGAATACGTATTTGGTGTTACAATACCTGTGCTGGCGAATTCATGAAAGTACATCACTTTGGACTCTCCACATGCTTGATTTGACTATGATACAGTTCAGAGCTGTGTGAAATTCACAGTAGTTTCTCATGGTTAAATCTACACATAAAATATGTCTACAGGTGTCTGAAATCCTTTAGTGAAAGGGTAAGGTCACCATTAGGAAGAGATCACAAGTCTTAATACACTGTAATTCGACTTCCGACAAATACTGGACGACTGCTTTAGCAAATGTTGTGTTCTAAACCATTTTGTTAAGACATCTAAAATTAAGTTGCCATAAATCTGATTGGTGTAATTGGATTGGAGAAAGGTCATAACACTCAAATGGTGTTTCAACATTTTTATTGATTGTTTTTGTACATACTGTCCCCCACCCCTTGGAAAATATACACCCATGAGGTCATCAGACATCTCATGAACTTAACAGTGTGAATTATAACACAGAATACTGGGTTAATAGTATTTATAACCAGTTTGAACAACTGTGGTATTGTATTGAATCTTCATAGCCTGGATCAATTCATCTGATTCTGCAGTATGTGTCATAATGTTCTGAAATAGCTGGGTGTAAACAAATATACACAATATCATGATATTGGCCTTCTTATTTACATTCAGAACTAATTATATAACTTCATTTATTGAGATACAAAACTCAGAATAACTTGTCTGGATGCATAAAAGCTGTGAATGAGCTCCCACTCATTCACTTGACAACTTCATTTCACATGTTCAAAGGAAGCAAACACTACACTACTTAGATATAACAAAAGAATTTTAAAAATTCCCATTCCATGCCATTTTTTGAGAAATGAGATGCTTGAGCTCAGTTTCACCAGTTTTAGCAGTTTGGAATCAATTATAATCATCAGCTTCCAGTTTCCTTGCAAGGTCCATTCTTTTGACCTTTTTACAGGCGTCAATAAGGTCCTGTTTCGATGATCTTTCCCTCTTTTCATTCAAATATATTTTTATAGCTCTGTGGATCTGTTCTTTCACATCCCGCGGATACGCATCCGCAAGATTGTCAATATCAAAATCATCCACACCTAAGTTCCTTACAAAGAACCGCCAGTCTCGTCCTAGTTTACGCTTCAGGAGTTCGATTGGCTGCCTCAGTTCTGAAACATCAGATTACCATAATTATTGCATGTGTATCATGACACCTGTACCTAAATCCTTAGTCAACACAGTCAACTTACATTTCTACCCAAAACATTTCCTTTGATATTTTTGCTGTAGCTGTATGTCTTACATAAATGCTGTCAATCATTAATAGATAAATATTTCACCTTCTCCAAATTTCTTAATTCTCTACAGCTTTACCAATCTATGTTGAGATTTCGAACAAAAGGACCACTAAACATCAGTTTTGTATATCATTTAAATTTAAAAACTCAAAATATACCATAAATCTAATAATACTGAAAAGGCGATAACCAGATTACAAACAGGTTACACAGAACTAAATTCCCACCTTCATAATTAATATATAAACACCAAAACAGCCAAATGCACACACTGCAACTACTTCCTCTCCCCTTACAACTTCTGTCAAATTTCCAAATTCAAAATTTACACAAACGGTACTTATCCAACCCTAATGCTCCCTTCAGGTTGTTTTTTTTCAGGGTATTTTTTGATCACATCACTCTTTTTTTGATCAATCACTAAATGGCACTAGTGGACCTGTTTTGGAAATGCGCATCATGTTAGAAAGCGCACGTAAAATCTCCAAACTCATCATCATCATCTGGAATGGCAGCTTCAAGTGCAGCACCAAGGCATTCCCTGCCCCTACAGACTACAGGTCCGAGTTGCTCAACGTTTGGGAAGTATTATGACAAGCCTGTTACTGATCCATCATATACACGTCCGCTGTTTATCATATTGTATATCATATATGTGTTGTAACTTGTATGACGTATTGTTTAGGGAGATATTGTTGACATAATTAAGTAACATGATACAAGATACTTTCAGTCCTGTAGACAATGGTACAGCTGAACTAATCTTAGAATTCAGTATGAATGATTCCTCACATACATTCAGACCAAGTTCTAAATCAATTAAGGTTGACATCTTGATTTGCTTTCAGACACAGATGGTTTCAAAACAAAAACAAGAGACTGAATATTCAACCTGACTTTGCAACAAATAAAGAAATAATCTGGTGCATTTACTGTTCAATCAAGTAAATAGATATAACTTATGTCTCCCACCTGGATTTGTGTAATCTCCTGAAAACAAAAGAAAAGGATATTAACATATATAACTATACACTTTCACCATCCCTACATTAATTTGTTACGCTGTGAATTTGGTAAGTTCCATGTAACTTTTCCTCTATTTCACATGTGGCACCATAAATATAAGGGATATTGTTAAATATAAGGGATGTATTTATCCTATTACCATAACAACTGGTGCAAGGATTTATAGTTTTCCTCTCGATATCTCTGCTCAGTATGTATATCTCAGCATCATACACAAGTGACGAAGACAAAATCCTGACAAAATAATTAGAATTGTGATGGATAACAATATCGTGAGTATCGATAATCGATGATACTTTTTTCTGACAATAAATATATCATAAATTTGTTATATATTGTACGATCTCAACTTCTAAAATGCCTCAAACAAAATAATTTCCGTCTGACAATAAATATCGATACTTTTTTCCGTATCATGATATGTATCGTTGACCTTAAAATTGTGAATTTTCACCAGAAATTTGACGGTTGTCAAAATTTACTCTGGTTCTTGTTATCAAAATACACGTTTTTTAAAGAAAATAACTAAAGATAGCATATCGTGATATGCATCGTATTGAATCGTATCGTTACATGATATCGCGATACGTATCGTATCGTGAAATTTCTGTATCATCACACCTCTAAAAATAATATTATTAAATGAATTGTCTGTGCTTACTCTGTGCAGGATATTCAGGAATGGCATCCACAGTCTCATCCCGTGGCTGGTACTCGTGAACTGCATCAAACACATCTCTTCGACCCTTCGTGGCATTTTCCAACAGATCATTCAAAATTCAATCTTTTCTGAAGATATTTCCTTTCTTTCCTCCAAAATTGTAATCAATTCCAGAAAATCTTTTATTTTGTCTCTTTGTCCTGCTTTGATGAAATCTTTACACAAAAATTTCATCGACTGGACTTCCTCTGGCCTGATCATATTGCTCAGATTGAGAATCATCCTTCTGTAGCGCATCTGTTTCTCATTGGCGTCAGCCATTTCTGCTTTCCTTCCTGATAACCGAATGACGATCTGTAAAATGTCTAAGGTGTCATCACATTCACAACAGACAGTATCAAGCTCTCTATCCTATTGTTCATGGATTTGTCTGAAAGAGAAATCACCAACAGTGGTAAAAAGTCTGGATGATGACAACGAGAATATGCGTTTACGGAGAACTACTCTTTATTTGGACATGACAGAACTTTCGATGGGGAAAACCCACATATATTGACACAAGCAGGGAATACCCAACGCCTGGCGGAACTTCGCTGATTGACTGACTATAGGTGGGTGCTAACCGAAGCTAATATTGATAGTGTAATGAAGTACACGTTAGTATGGAAACTGTTATAAACATAGACAGTTACTAACTTCACTCACACCCTCATCTTCCGGACATATCGTGAAGCACCTTAGGAACTCCGCTTCAGCGCGTAACACAATCGCTACAGTTCACCTTATGCCTTGCTAAAACGGGACCCGTCAAACATTGCATAAAACGAAAATGGCATTGAGTGTTGAATCTTTGTATGACCCCAATCAAATATAAGACTCCTTTTTATCCCCGGCATGTAATGCGGGGGGTATAGTCGTCGTCGTCCGTCGTCCGTCCGTCCGTCCGTCCGTAATCATTTTGTTTCCGGAGCATAACTCCAAGACCATTCGATATTTTTCAACAAAATTTGTAGATATATCAAACAGAACCTAAGGTGGTGCCTTTGCTATTTACAGATTTTTGGCATTTTATTTTTCTCAAGTTTCCATGGAAACGTTTTGGACTCAGTCTTAAAAGGGAGGGTGGGCTTCGTTTCCGGAGCATAACTCAGAAACCGTTCAGTATTTTTCTGCAAAACTTGGTAGATATATCAAACAGAACCCAAAGTGGTGCCTTTGCTACTTACAGATTTTGTGATTTATTATTTTCTTGGTTTCCATGGAAACAATTCGGGCTTAGTCTCAAAAGGAGGGGTGGGTTTCATTTCCGGAGCACAATTCGAAAACTTCTTAATATCTTTCAGCAAAACTTGGCAGATATGTGAGGCAGATCCCAAAGTGGTGCCTTTTGCTCTCCTTTACAGATTCTTGGCATTTGTATTTTTCTTGGTTTCCATGGAAACGATTCAGACTTAGTCTCAAAAGGGAGGGTAGGTTTCTGTTTCCGGAGCACAACTTGAAAACCGTTCAATATCTTTCAACAGTACTTGGGAGATATATGAGACAGATCTTGAAGTGATGCCTTTGCTATTTACAGATTTTGTCATGTTTATTTTTCTCGGTTTCCATGGAAACGATTTGAACTTAGTCTCAAAAGGGAGGGGTGGGTTTCGTTTCCGGAGCATAACGCGAAAACTTCTTAATATCTTTCAACAAAACTTGGCAGATATGTGAGGCAGATCTTGAAGTGGTGCCTTTGCTGTTTACAGATTTTTTGGCATTTATATTTTTCTTGGTTTCCATGGAAACGTTTTGGACTTTAAAGGGAGGGGTGGGCTTTGTTTCCGGAGGATAACTCAGAAACCGTTCAGTATTTTTCTGCAAAACTTGGTAGATATATCAAACAGAACCTAAAGTGGTGCCTTTTGCTATTTTTACAGATTTGCACTTAGTCTAAAATCAAGCTGGACTTTAAGTAACTGTCAAATGATTTGTTCTTTCAAAGATGTGGGGCCGGGGGGATATGTCATCTTCTGATGACTCTTGTTTTTTTTTTTACTCATGAGAAACTAGGGACCCGAAAGTAGTCGGCACCCTGTTTCATATCCATTAGTTATGCGTACAAGTATACTTTTTGTGCAAAAGATTTTTTGTCAGGTGTATAGTCTGAGGTGGGGGTGGGGTGGGGTGGGGTCCTTTGTGCTGAAGGTTTATTACATGACCATTGAAACTCTCGTGAAAAACGGCTGAAAGTGAAGCGTATCAACCCCACCCCCTTCTAAACTGTGCACACCCCACCCCACACCCCATGTATCCGCCCCTGAGGTGTGTGTTTTATGAAATCAGAGAAAAGGAAGTCCAGCCAACTCTGTGTCATGTGCATCAGTAATGTGCTTCTCCCGCAAATACACCGAATAACTTGATGCGGTTTTGCAAAACAAAAATTCTGGAGCCATTTTGACGCATTGCAGCTTTTAGTGATTTGGTAGCTTTAGCGATCTTCAGGTATGCTGGGCCCTGTCTCGCATGTCGCAATATAGGCGCAAAGGGAACCGGGAACCAGTTGTGGCGCGAAGCATCGCTGTGGAAGAGCTTGTGGCGCAAGTTCTACGAAGTAAACTGGGCCACGTCTCGCACATCGCTCCGCAGCGCCAACAAGGAACAGGTGGTGTTGTGGTGCTGTATCTCTAAACAGCGCACCACAACTTCCTCGTGAGGGCGATCTCGCCGCAGGTCACATGCTATTAAGACAAGCAACCAGTTGGTAAGTTCCATGTAACTTTTCCTCTATTTCACATGTGGCACCATAAATATAAGGGATATTGTTAAATATAAGGGATGTATTTATCCTATTACCATAACAACTGGTGCAAGGATTTATAGTTTTCCTCTCGATATCTCTGCTCAGTATGTATATCTCAGCATCATACACAAGTGACGAAGACAAAATCCTGACAAAATAATTAGAATATATAACAAATTTATGGATAACAACTTCTTTATTTTCGTGAGTGCGACGTTTCGATACAGATTCTTGTACCGTTGTCAAGCAAGAGTGACGGTACAAGAATCTGTATCCAACGTCACCTCAACATAAAGAGATTGATATCATAAATTGATTATATATTGTACGTCTCAACTTCTAAAATGCCACTCAAACAAAATAATTAGAGTTGTGACGATATATCGTAGTATCGATAATCGTGATACTTTTTCTGACAATAAATATATCGATACTTTTTTCCGTATCATGATATGTATCGTTGACCTTAAAATTGTGAATTTTCACCAGAAATTGACGGTTGTCAAAATTTACTCTGGTTCTTGTTATTAAAATACGTTTTTTTTAAGAAAATAACTAAAGATAGCATATCGTGATATGCATCGTATTGAATCGTATCGTTACATGATATCGCGATACGTATCGTATCGTGAAATTTCTGTATCATCACACCTCTAAAAATAATATTATTAAATGAACTGTCTGTGCTTACTCTGTGCAGGATATTCAGGAATGGCATCCACAGTCTCATCCCGTGGCTGGTACTCGTGAACTGCATCAAACACATCTCTTCGACCCTTCGTGGCATTTTCCAACAGATAATTCAAAAATTCAATCTTTTCTGAAGATATTTCCTTTCTTTCCTCCAAAATTGTAATCAATTCCAGAAAATCTTTTATTTTGTCTCTTTGTCCTGCTTTGATGAAATCTTTACACAAAAATTTCATCGACTGGACTTCCTCTGGCCTGATCATATTGCTCAGATTGAGAATCATCCTTCTGTAGCGCATCTGTTTCTCATTGGCGTCAGCCATTTCTGCTTTCCTTCCTGATAACCGAATGACGATCTGTAAAATGTCTAAGGTGTCATCACATTCACAACAGACAGTATCAAGCTCTCTATCCTATTGTTCATGGATTTGTCTGAAGAGAAATCACCAACAGTGGTAAAAAGTCTGGATGATGACAACGAGAATATGCGTTTACGGAGAACTACTCTTTATTTGGACATGACAGAACTTTCGATGGGGAAAACCCACATATATTGACACAAGCAGGGAATACCCAACGCCTGGCGGAACTTCGCTGATTGACTGACTATAGGTGGGTGCTAACCGAAGCTAATATTGATAGTGTAATGAAGTACACGTTAGTATGGAAACTGTTATAAACATAGACAGTTACTAACTTCACTCACACCCTCATCTTCCGGACATATCGTGAAGCACCTTAGGAACTCCGCTTCAGCGCGTAACACAATCGCTACAGTTCACCTTATGCCTTGCTAAAACGGGACCCGTCAAACATTGCATAAAACGAAAATGGCATTGAGTGTTGAATCTTTGTATGACCCCAATCAAATATAAGACTCCTTTTTATCCCCCCGGCATGTAATACGGGGGTATATAGTCGTCGCCTCGTCCGTCCGTCCGTCCGTCCGTCCGTCCGTAATCATTTTGTTTCCGGAGCATAACTCCAAGACCATTCGATATTTTTCAACAAAAATTTGTAGATATATCAAACAGAACCTAAGGTGGTGCCTTTTGCTATTTACAGATTTTTGGCATTTTTATTTTTCTCAGTTTCCATGGAAACGTTTTGGACTCATATCATATCCATTAGTTATGTACAAGTATACTTTTTTGTGCAAAAGATTCTTGTCAGGTGTAGATCTATAGTCTGGGGTGTGTGTGTGGTGTGTGTGTGGTGGGGGTGGGGTGGGGTTCCTTTGTCCTGAAGGTTTATTACATGACCATTGAAACTCGTGAAAACGGCTGAAAGTGAAGTGTATCAACCCCACCCCCTTCTAAACTGTGCACACCCCACCCCACACCCCATGTATCCGCCCCTGAGGTGTGTTTTATGAAATCAGAAAAAAAGGAAGTCCAGCCAACTCTGTGTCATGTGCATCAGTAATCCGCTTCTCCCGCAAATACACCGAATAACTTGATGCGGTTTTGCAAGAAAATTCTGGTGCCATTTTGACGCATTGCAGCATTAGCATTTGCAGCTTTAGCGCGATCTTGTGTATGCTGGGCCCCGTCTCGCATGTCGCCATTCGTAACTACTCGTGTCATTCCGGCAAGCCGGATGGCGTGCAGGTCACGGAAAGAGGCGAGTAGTTACGAATGGCATGTCGCAATATTAGCGCAAAGGGAACCGGGAACCAGTTGTGGCGCGAAGCATCGCTGTGAAGAGCTTGTGGCGTGTTCTACAGTAAACTGGGCCACGTCTCGCATATCGCAACGTGCCAACAAGGAACAAAAAGTGAGTGAGTGAGCTTAGTTTTACTCTGTTTTTAGCAATGAATATTCCAGGAATATCACGTCGGCGGTCACCAGAAATGGGTTTAACACATTGTACCCATGTGGGAAATCGAACCCGGGTTCCCTGCTTGACGAGAGAACGCTTAACCACTAGGCTACCCAAGCGCCCCAGTAACAAAAAAGAGATAACTATTAGATAGAATAAGATAACATATAACTTTGTTATCCCGGAAGAAATTCTTTTGGCACCAAAACGGTCTCAAAATGAATATATATACACAATTCACAAAAATATATACAATAATTACATGCACAAAATGAATGCTGGTTACACACATCCACAAGACAAGAGTCATCATAAGATGACATATCCCCCCGGCCCCCACATATTTGAAAGAACAAATCATTTGACAGTTTCCCCCCGGCATGGGATAGAGTCGACGACTCGTCCGTCTGTCCGTAATCATTTTGTTTCCGGAGCATAACTCAAAAACCGTTAAATATTTTTCAACAAAAATTGGTAGATATATCAAACAGAACCTAAGGCGGTGCTTTTGTTATTTACAGATTTTTGGCATTTTTATTTTTCTCGGTTTTCATGGAAACGTTTTGGACTTAAAAAACTGACATGATTCAATGCAATTAATCACATAGGTAAAGAGGCTGAATAATTCTAGCAGTTATCACATAATGATGATTAAAAATAATTGTTACATTTACGCGAATACTGGATGGGATGAAAGACTGTCGAGCTCTGTTTGTTTTGTGGGAAGGTAATCGAAAGCGGCGTCCAGAAGGAAGTATAGTTCAAAATGGTGAGATAAAAATGAGAGCTATCAATTCTAATTTTAGTTGCCTTTCTGACAATCTTGCGCTAATAGATAAAGGGAATATACTCGAAAGACACTTTTGAAAAGTTTGTTTTTGTTGCGAGCATGCAGACAGCATAGAAAATTGTAGGTCAACATACTTTGAATAAAGGTTTTATTTAAAGAAACAACAACGGTCATTATGGCTTTGTCAGTAGAAAAGTTTCTTAAGCGGCGAAGAAAATAAAGTCGCTGCTGGCCTTTTTTTTGTAAATGTGATCGATATGTTTTGAAAAGGAAAGTTTTGACTCTAAAATGACGTCGGTATATGTGTAATGGTCCACTCTTTCAATTTCTGCATTATCAATAATAAGAGGATGTAGAGGTTCCTTATTTCTCCGAAAATCAACTACCATTTCCTTAGTTTCCTTTACATTTATAAAAAAAAGAAATTTGTCTTTACACCAACATAGAAATTAGAATCAGCGGCCGTTTAAAAATTATCAGGCATTTATTTATTGAATAAAAACTGAACGATCATTAGACTCCCGCCTCCAAGATGGACTGCACCCCTTCGTCACCGTTCTATTGTTGGTCATACAACATGCATACTTTGCATGACGTCAACAGTGTCTGTTTTGAGGATTATCCAAGGTGTTTCTGGGAGACTGAACTTCAGAAGCGTTTATCAAATTTTAGTCTGAGATCGACCTGTTACACGACAAGTGGAACCGATGAAAGTCAAGAATTAATGCGGAAAGCCCATTTTCTTGGACGCTACAAACCAAAGTCTTGGAGCATACAATGTTGTATCTTATGGAGAGCATATATACTCATGCCAATAATGGTTGTCCCCCCCTTCAATTTTTTTAATTGGAGAGGGGTGTGGTGGGGGTGTGTGGGTGTGTGGGTTGGGATGGGGAGGGGTGACAACCATTATTGGCATGAGTACATATAAAACTGGGACAGAGAACAGAAGTCCCTCCTTGATTGCTATGGTCGGTCGTCCAAATGAACCCCTCTTTGACCCCTCAAAATGACGAAGAATGATGATAATTTTATGTACATGTATATCTAACTTCTTTATTCTGTGAAAGGCGACGTTTCGACATAGATTGTAATGTCGTGGTCAAGACGCCTTGTCTATATTAGGTCGTCCAAATTAACCCCTTCTTGACCCCTAAAAATACCTCCCACAGAAAATACCCCCCACAGAAAATATCTCCCAAAGTTGTGGAACACCTAGACTAACAACTAGTCACTGAAATGAACATATTTTACTGAAAAAAGTTCATAGTAAAACAAAAATAAAATATAATGAAAAGGAGCCCAGAGACTTTCTTCATTTTCAGAAGCTGAGGAAATCTAGACTTGCCACATTTTCTAGACTTGCGTTGGCTTTCTTGGATATATTTGCTTCAGGGTCTGAACGACAGACTGGACAACCATACAGGTATCAGTGAAACATACCATGTGGCACTGTACACGTCATACATGGCCGTGAAGACGCCGTGTCTCATTCCCTTGACATAACCAACTGATGAGCGTTTGTATAGTCGTCGGATAGTATACTTCAGTAGATCGTTCCAGAACCTACTAAACCAGAATAGCTGGACAGCCGCAGTAAAACTGTACGAGGGGTGAAAAGTCATCTACAAGGGTTTGTTTTTTTCAATCGAGGTATAAAAGGTAACTAGGATGTCCTTCATGTTTATGTAGTTAAGGTTATATACATGGTTATCATTGAAACAAATGTGCCTGAGCATATTTCAAGTTTAATTATTGTTTGCTGTTAATTGTGTGCATTGATAATTGTGTTTATAGATGAAAACGACCCTTTTGACAAGTCTTTATGTTCATTGTGTATTATGTTCAACATCGAGTAACAGCCCGTTGGTGCAAGTAAATTATCACTGGTAATTACAGTTACAATATCAGAACGTATGTGTGTCGGTTGTGAATACTGAAAGACTAACTTTCGTCAAAATATCTCTTTAAATGTTTTGACCACCTTGCGTTGTGAGGTATCTAGTCTACAATACACTCTCAACACGCAACAAGTATATCTTCGATTCCCCACATGGGTACAATGTGACACCAGTTCTGGTGTCCCCTACCGTGATATTGCTGGAATATTGCTAAAAACGACGTAATATTATACCTACCTAACTCACTACTTCCGAGCCTGGAATGAATCGGTGGTCATGTGGACAGTGGTCATGAGGGCTGGGTGAAATAACAGACATAGATAATTACTCTTGATTCACTGGGGGTACTTTAATTTCTTGGTATATTTGTGCGTCTCTCCGGATGCGGTATTGTGCGTACTGGACGCACATTTGTGTGGTGCGTAAAACAATGAACCACATCATCTATCCTGGCAGAAGGGCGTGTTGAATTTCTAGGTGAAGAGGAGAGAAACCTCAACGTCATTATTAAGCGTTTAAACGAATTATATGGTTATAAACGTGTTGGTAACAGCCGCGTTTTCAACTTTCAAAAGGACAGTTCAAATGGATCTAGTTTGTTGGGTGAACCATTCAATACCCACCTGGCCCGCTGCGCGCGTGCACGCACGCACACACGTACGCACGCACGCACACTGGATCCGACTATGAGTCTGTTGTGACGTCATCTGGTTGCACATCCTAAATGCCCACAATATCAGCGATCTAGCTCACTCAGGTACAGAAGCTTTTTTGAAGAAGTTAGAGTCTCGCCAATTTACACAATTCAGCGGGATACAAAGAGTACGTGGTTTAGACTACCTGTGTTACCGGACTTCCATTCCTGGAGGCCTTGATACAGCCTGGTTCCCGGGGTCAGCTGCGCTAATGCTTCGACAGCGTCATAGCGTTAGCGCAGAAGACCCCGGGAACCAGGCTGGCAATGATGGCTATGAATGGACTGGAACGCTGAATATGTGTTAGTGATTCGGTGTGTCACTCTCAGAATGTCGACTTATAAAGACCCGGTTTAAAATTGATCTTTAGCAACCCATGCTTGTCATAACGGGATCGAGTGGTCAGGCTCGCTGACACATGTCATCGGATCTTAATTGGGTAGAGCAATGTTCCTGATGTTGAACGCTGGATTGCCTGGTCCAGAGTGGATTATTTTCGGATCGCAGTAGTCAAAATCACCTTGTCTTCACTGACGATAAAACTTGATGCCATTTTAATATTTTTGGATTTGGAGTATATTGCACCATTTGATTGAAAAACAACACCCTCGTAGATGACTTCAAAATCTGATAGAAAATATTGCTTAAAAGTTGGAAAATGATCAAATATGTACTGTTCAATGTAAGAATAAGCGTCTGGAACCAACTAATACCTAGTTTATCGATGGTGTAATGTGCGTACTTATTCTCTTCAGTTTGTGTTAGGCATCGTTTTTCACTTCGCCCCCAGCGTCATTCAGACAGTAATACATATACCCACTGACATCTCTTAAAAACATTCCGCGTGGAACATTGTCACTTTTCATATTGTTGTGTAGCTCTCGTGGTGGACTACCGTTTGTGTTCTGTGTCTTGGACTACTTTTTGTGTTCTGTGTGTTGGAGTATACATAGTATAGTAGTGAAACCCAGTGGAAGTGCACCTCCTGCCAGACTAGAAAGCCCATGTCTCTCTTGGAGGCGAAAAAGAAGCACCACATATCGCAAGCCTTATATATGCGAATCCGAGGCAGTACAGACTCCGCGATACAAACACACATGGAGACAAAAACAGACCCAAGTTCCGAAACACAAACGGGGCCATATATTGTACAACCTAGTGGCACCTATACCATATTGCTTTATTTGAAACTCACTCACTCATGTTTGTCTGTGTGACAGTGTGATGCGATCCATTGGCGGATCCAAGGAAGAAAATTAATACAAAAAGGATAAGCAAAAGCCCACATTTCTTTTATACAGTTCACATTTATTAACAACACCTTTTGACAGTTTTATTTTGATTCATTTATTTAATGCCACACTCAACAATATTCAAGCTATATGATGTTGTCTATAAACAATTGAGTCTGGACCAGACAAGCCTATGATTGACGTCATCAGCATCGATCTGCATACTAGTTAACTGGAGCCACTGACGATAGTGCACGGGAATAGGATCACTGATGTATCTTTCCCTGAGACCTAGAAATAGTAGACATCAACAAGCTTCTCATATACTCTTGCACACACAGTGTAAGGAAATCCAAACTGCACTTTTAAAAAAAAAAGTATGATCCAGTGTAATAAAAACAATTTTCAGTCTTCGATTACAAGAACAGCATCACAGATTAAACTGTGCCCTTTATACCAGATCTACATAATGAGCATCATTATGAAACACTGATCAGAACGTTCTTCCTGAGAGTGGAAAATCTGCATCAGTATGTGGTGATTAAAGTCGTAAATCTTGAATCCAACTTACAACTTATGGTATATCAATGAGTGCTGATATATTTCCAACATCTGGCCTTCGTCAAACATAATCTGAGCCTGTTATGGTCAGAACTATATCTAAATGTTACAATCTAAACCTGCGTTGAAACATGCTGTTTATATGTTTAAAACACTACTTTCCCTCGGGACAATTTAAAATGGAGAGTATCTGCTTTACTTTTATCTATGGCAGCAGTATTAACAGACACACATCAGTTTGACTTGATCTTGTCTTCAGGTTGTTTTCGCTTTCGAACATAAGCCTGATAATAAAAGTTAGAAAATAGAGTAGTCATGGTTATTCCATAAAAAAGGCTATAAAAACAAAAATCATAGTACACAACTCCATAGAGTGATATAGCAAAATCAATAAGAAATTGAATTATCTGCATCTGTGTAAGTTGCTTTCTCCATTGAGGAGGGTTGTTCGGTACCATGGCAGTGAGACCATAGTAGAGGTACAGAACCACATGAACCAGAGAGTTGAGGGATTGGAATACGGCGATGCACGGAAAAGGGAAATATAAGTGGCCGAAGTTAGTGAGTAGCAGCATGCTGGAGTGGTGGTAGACGTGGAGGAAGGAGATCTGGCGCCGACGATGTCGGAGGACCATGAACACGGTGTCCAGAAGTTCAATGACCTTGGTTATGTAGTAAACCCAGAAGACAAAGGTCAGCTCTTCTGATATTTCCTTGGAGTAGAGATGGCCGCTTTTGTAGACCCCACGGATGAAGCCGTAGAACGTGTACATGCTGGTCACACAGCAGGTGAAGTTGTGAAGGATCAGCAGCTGTCGAAGGCAACATTATAACTATTTGAGAGTGACATATATCAAATATATAGGAATATTCTTAATGAATATATAGGCATATGGTGATCTATCCTAGAGCTCCAAGCAATAGCTCTAATCATAAGATCAGGTGGGACAGGATCTTTGTATAAGAAACTTTTACAAGTCTGATTCTGTGAGCATGAATTAAACATCCTGTTGTATGAGTATGTATTAACGGTCTGGTTGTATGAATATGTATTACACGTCTGTTTGTATGAATATGTATTACATGTCTGGTCTTTGAGTATATATTAGACGTCTGTTTGTATGAATATGTATTACACGTCTGGTCTATGAGTATGTATTACATTACATGTCTGTTTGTATGAATATGTATTACATGTCTGGTCTATGAATATGTATTACATGTCTGGTCTATGAATATGTATTACATGTCTGGTCTATGAGTATGTATTACACGTCTGGTCTAAGAATATGTATTACATGTCTGTTTGTATGAATATGTATTACATGTCTGGTCTATGAATATGTATTACATGTCTGGTCTATGAGTATGTATTACACGTCTGTTTGTATGAATATGTATTACATGTCTGGTCTATGAATATGTATTACACGTCTGTTTGTATGAATCTGTATTACATGTCTGGTCTAAGAATATGTATTACATGTCTGTTTGTATGAATATGTATTACATGTCTGGTCTATGAATATGTATTACATGTCTGGTCTATGAGTATGTATTACACGTCTGTTTATATGAATATGTATTACACGTCTGTTTGTATGAATATGTATTACATGTCTGGTCTATGAATATGTATTACATGTCTGGTCTATGAGTATGTATTACACGTCTGTTTATATGAATATGTATTACATGTCTGTTTGTATGAATATGTATTACATGTCTGTATGAATATCTATGTCTGTCTATGAGTATGTATTACACGTCTGTTTGTATGAATATGTATTACATGTCTGGTCTATGAGTATGTATTACACGTCTGTTTGTATGAATATGTATTACATGTCTGTTTGTATGAATATGTATTACATGTTTGGTCTATGAGCATGCATTACATGTCTGGTCTATGAGCATGCATTACATGTCTGGTCTCTGAATATGTATTACATGTCTGGTGTATGAGCATGCATTACATGTCTGGTCTCTGAATATGTATTACATGTCTGGTCTATGAATATGTATTACATTTCTGTTTCTACCAATTTATGTTGGAGAGTAATAAACAGAATACTAAACTCGCGTTCGTGAAATACCAGTTTTATTAAACTCGTTAAAGATTTGGCATCAAACGCGCTTTCGCTCGTTTGATACCAAATCATTAACTCGTTTAATAAAAATGGTATTACACGGAAGGTCGTTTATTATCCTCTATATATTGCATATCTGGTTGTTTTGAATGTTTAGAAAAAAGAAGAATGTGAGAAAAGAATTGTAGAACAGAAGCCTTCACATCTTATAATTTTGTTGCTGCAATAGTTAGTCCATGTAAGAAAAACACTTCCATCCATCACTGATATATATTCTTAATTTACTTACCGGTTTAAGATTCAGTGGTTTGGTCCATTTCTGCCAGTAACCTGAGAAGAATATCATGAGGAGGTAGAGGCAAAATAGAGGAAATGATTGCAAGTTAATAACATAGCGAAGTCCCATCAGAAACCTGACCGTGTCCATCTTGCCTGCTATGACATATAATGCAACCTGATTCACTTGGCCAGAGTTGGGACACGTGGTGTTCTACTGATGAAATGACTGGCTTATAAACTTTTACTGCAGCCAGTTCCCCATTACACTGCGTCTGCTACCACCAATCAAAATCAACAGAAGTGCAATGTTGCACATGACGCAAGTTACCTTTAGGTCAAACATTTTCACTGTCACAAAAGGTCGCCATTACACTACATCTGCTACCACCAATTATAATCATCAGGGTACAATGTTGAAGATGGTAACACAGTAACAATGTCCCAATTATTTATAGTTTCCTTTCTTCTTTGTGTGTAGACATGTAATGGGTCTAATAATGTCCAACAAAATGAAGATATATATTTTTATTACAAATACAGGGGTTGTGTATGTGCTGCTTTAGGGTCACTTAACAGACAGGGTGGATATATGAGCAGTTATAACTGGCTTTATCGACTGCACTGGTTGGTATGTGATATTGCTGAATTCTCCTCCTGATTATTGATGTTTACAACTACATGTTACTAGCTGAATTACATGGAATATTAACACCAAGGCCCGACACCTGCAAAGCCAAACACATATCAGCTGATAAACCTCCATGTTCAGCTGTTTACATGTTGTATTAAAAAACTCTGTTAAACCTGGCAATCAATATAGATAATAAAGATAGATAATTAATATTAATTAATTATTATTATGAATTAATGAGGGTGAAGGAACTATGAGGACAAAGTCTGATAGGAATCAACATATTTCACAACACTGGTGAATGGTAAGGGGCCATTCATAATTTATGGTAGGGTGTGTTATGGTAGGGGGTCATTGATTTTGTATTTTGTACATGGCATGCGGGCGTTGTCACTTTGTACATAAAATTTAGATGAGGGTGGGGGTGGGGTGGGGTCATTCAAATTGTACATGCTTCTCCATCAAATCATCATATCACAGAGAGAGAGGGAGAGAGAGAGAGAGACAATGGCGATTGCTCGGTAGCCAATAAGATGCGCTAAACTAGGTAGCTTAAAGGTCACATGCAACCAAAAAATCAAACATAATTAAAACACAATTATCACTTATTCATGACATATAATATACATTGCTGGTTATGAAAAAACATATAAACAAAATTATAAGCGTACAATCGCAAATCTATGGTGGCTCATTCGGGCCATCGCTTTATCGCCCTGAAGAAATCTAGGCGATATCGCGACAAAGCGATAGTACGACACGATATTGCGATATGGCGACACGATATAGCGATATTGCGATATAGCCAAAGATGAAATAGCGATAACACGACACGACATGACGATAACAAGACACGATATAGCGATAACAAGACACGAAATGGCAACAACTCGACACGACATTGCGATAACACGACACGAAATGGCGATAACACGACACGAAATGGCGATAACACGACACGAAATGGCGATAACACGACACGAAATGGCGATAAAAAGACACGAAAAGGCGATAAAAAGAGGCGACATTGCGATATAGCGATAACGCGAAAAGGCGATATTGCGATATGGCGACGCGATATTGCGATACAGCGACATTGCGATATGGCGATACAGCGATATTGCGATATGTAGAAAAGCGGGTAAGTTGATTCATTCTCAGGATTCAATAATAAGATAGCGGGAAGTAACCTCTCTGGTTAAATCACCAGTTTCGCAACACATATTTGATAATCAATAACTGGTTCAAACAAGGAATTGTTAATATTAAAGACATTTTCAATGACCAAGAGGTACTCTCATTTGCAGAACTTAAAACAAAATTTGATATTAAGGGCACAGTACTTGACATAAATCGTGTCATCGTCAGTATTCCCCCAAAATGGAAAGAAGTCATTCAAACTGCTGGACACCCAAACATAACAAAAGTATCGATAAGTTCCCCATGGAATGATCTTATTATACCGACTAAAGGATATAGATTAGTTTACGAGTCTCATATCGAAATCCAATTTTCCTAACGTATGCGATAAATGGGAAAGTGAAGTAAACGATCATATCGATTGGAAGACCATATTTGTGCAATATAGACTAACCATTAAAGACCCAAAGCTTTTTGGATTTTCAATACAAATTTATTAATAGAGTTATTTATACATTAAAATGAAACTAGTTGATAATGACATATGTATATCGTCTGACGTAAGTGAGAATATTTATCATGTATATATTGAAAGTCCCATCATTAGATTATTCTGGAAAGAATTCACCGGTTTTGTTAATTGTGTCCTACAGAGAACATTCGTACTCTCAGCTCAAGATATACTATTTTGTGCGAATAGCGACCCCTTGCTCAACCACATGATCATACTAGCCAAGCGCCACATTTTTGTCAGGAATATCAAGGGTGTGAAACCAAGTTTCACCACATATAAAGGGTTATTAAAAGATGTGTATGACATTGAGAAATATATTGCCAGAAACAATTTCAATATGAATTTATTTGAGAGAAAATGGATTAGGCTCCAAAATGTTCTGTGATTATGACAATGAAATAGTTCTACTCAAGTGTATCTGCGTTTGTTCCAGTTTTACATATTTATTTCCCAGTGAAATTGAAACAAAGTGACATGCCATTTCTCATAATATATCATTACAAAACTATGTCCACGGATTGTTTCATACAAAGTGTATCCAAGTGAAGTGAATAAAAAAATGTAAAAAAATAGTATGTGAGATAAACACATTCGTAAAACCGCCCATTCTACTGAAATAGCTCATCCAAAAGCACAATGACAGATGACATATTCTAAACTGTGATACTTGTCCATGTCAAGATCCCGAGAATTCTGTAGGCTATAAGAGTTCATCAGAATAGATTTGGGCTCTTACGGTGCCTGATCGATCTGCCTAATCTTATGGGAAATCGATCTCTGAAGTGTCTACTTTTAAGAATGGTGGTTGCTTATCAAGAAAGGAAACTATCATTATAAACGAAAAGTTCTAGAATACTTTTCTTCTTCTATCTATTAATAAGTAAACAATACATTGCACACCAAAATAATTTCAGTAGGTACAGTGGAAGCTGTACCAGCAATCCTAATTCAGATCTGCTTTTAACTTGACCGTGCTAACACACCATAGAGTGTTACCAGCAATCCTAATTCAGATCTGCTTTTAAACTTGACCGTGTTAACACATCACGTAGTGTTACCAGCAATCCTAATTCAGATCTGCTTTTAACTTGACCGTGCTAACACACCATAGAGCGTTACCAGCAATCCTAATTCAGATTTTAACTTGACCGTGCTAACACACCATAGAGTGTTACCAGCAATCCTAATTCAGATCTGCTTTTAACTTGACCGTACTAACACACCATAGAGTGTTACCAGCAATACTGATTCAGATCTGCTTTTAACTTGACCGTGCTAACACACCATAGAGTGTTACCAGCAATCCTAATTCAGATCTGCTTTTAACTTGACCGTGCTAACACACCATAGAGTGTTACCAGCAATCCTAATTCAGATCTGCTTTTAACTTGACCGTGATAACACGTCACATTGTGCTACCAGCAATCCTAATTCAGATCTGCTTTTAACTTGACCGTGCAACCACGTCAAATAGTGTTACCAGCAATCCTAATTCAGATCTGCTTTTAACTTGACCGTGCTAACACACCATAGAGTGTTACCAGCAATACTAATTCAGATCTACTTTTAACTTGACCGTGCTAACACACCATAGAGTGTTACCAGCAATCCTAATTCAGATCTGCTTTAACTTGACCGTGATAACACGTCACATAGTGTTACCAGCAATCCTAATTCAGATCTGTCTTTAACTTGACCGTGATAACACGTCACATATTGTTACCAGCAATATTAATTCAGATCTGCTTTTAACTTGACCGTGATAACACGTCACGTAGTGTTACCAGCAATCCTAATTCAGATCTGCTTTTAACTTGACCGTGATAACACGTCTCATAGTGTTACCAGCAATATTAATTCAGATCTGCTTTTAACTTGACCGTGCTAACACACCATAGAGTGTTACCAGCAATCCTAATTCAGATCTGCTTTTAACTTGACCGTGCTAACACACCATAGAGTGTTACCAGCAATCCTAATTCAGATCTGCTTTTAACTTGACCGTGCTAACACACCATAGAGTGTTACCAGCAATCCTAATTCAGATCTGCTTTTAACTTGACCGTGCTAACACACCATAGAGTGTTACCAGCAATATTAATTCATATGTGCTTTTAACTTGACCGTGATAACACGTCACATAGTGTTACCAGCAATCCTAATTCAGATCTGCTTTTAACTTGACCGTGCTAACACACCATAGAGTGTTACCAGCAATCCTAATTCAGATCTGCTTTTAACTTGACCGTGATAACACGTCACATAGTGTTACCAGCAATCCTAATTCAGATCTGCTTTTAACTTGACCGTGATAACACGTCACATATTGTTACCAGCAATATTAATTCAGATCTGCTTTTAACTTGACCGTGATAACACGTCACATAGTGTTACCAGCAATCCTAATTCAGATCTGCTTTTAACTTGACCGTGATAACACGTCACATATTGTTACCAGCAATATTAATTCAGATCTGCTTTTAACTTGACCGTGATAACACGTCTCATAGTGTTACCAGCAATCCTAATTCAGATCTGCTTTTAACTTGACCGTGATATCACGTCACATAGTGTTACCAGCAATATTAATTCAGATGTGCTTTAACTTGACCGTGATATCACGTCACATAGTGTTACCAGCAGTCCTAATTCAGATCTGCTTTTAACTTGACCGTGCTACCTATATAAATACACAATGACGCGCGCACGTGTGCGGGCATGCATGCACTATTCAACGCTTGACCATATTTTAAACTACCTCGGCATAACCGGCCCCAAACTGTCATTGTTCATAACTACTGACGTCCGTTTTACCACCTCTGTGGTGTTCTATGAACATATTACACCTGAAATATGCAGGATGTGAACCTCAATCATTGTTTGTTGTTTAACGCCGCACTCAGCAATATTCTGGCCACGTTACCCTGGTAGTGGCCTCCTACGACAAGTATGGTTGCTGAAGAACAGTTCTAACCCAGATCTTCACGGGTATTCAACCATTGTACCCATATCCGGAACAGAACCCGGGACCCTAGTGTGACTGGAAAATGCACGGACCGCTGTGCTTCTAACGTGTAACCCTCACTCGAATAAACTATGATGAAGGTTATCTCGTTAACGTCACGTCCGAACTATATATGGTTTGGGCAATATCAAAGGCACGATGTAAAGGATTTATCATGTATATTTCAGTTTCAAATTCTACTTGGTGATTGTGTTAGAAACGTAATTTGTTGTAATTATTGAAGTCCTTCCTCGTCGGACTACAAAGACCCGATCCCCTTCCCAGAGACCTGTGACGCCCCGGTATGTCTATGTCGTTTCTCTGTCACAAACACTCTCGGAAACGCCGGCGCCAGACATACGAGGTTGTGGAGTTTTTACTTATCATGTCTACAACTTCAAAAAGGATAATCCATTGTGTTGAAAGTTGTCAGATGTCACTACATATATACATTGCATACACAGTTTAGTGCAA